CAAGGGAGTGATGATTGGGATTGGGCTTGACAGATATGGTATCTTACTAAAATAGCTACTATGTTTTGAAATACAGAAGAGGAAGAAAAGATAAGATTTAAAAATGAGGATCCCTGATACGAAACCCAAATTTTAAATTGTTCATCTGAAACTTAAAAATCTGTCTTTGCTCTTCAAATCTTGTTTATTTTGCAAAGAGAAAGTATAAGATGTAAGTACAATGAGATATATATAATTTTCACCATGATATAACGTTAATGCAAATTTATTGTTTACAAAACTTTAAAAAATTTTAAAATCCTTAGCTGTATTTGGTAAAACTTTTCAAAATTTTGGGTCCTCAATGCTCTTCAACTTCATACATTATTTGGCCTTTTAACTTTTATGATTTGAGTGTCACTGATGAGTCTTTTGTAGATGAAACGCGTGTCTGGCGTACATAATTTGAAGACTGGTATCTATGATGAGTTTATTAATACTAGTGCTGTGTAATGCTGTCAAGCACTAAAAATGTTTCAAAATTCTTGAGAAAAAATGTGGTGTCATTCACTGTACATTCTTTTGGTATTAATTTATGTTTTTAGGTCATGATGTTATCTGTCTATATTTATGTGAAGGAAAGGATGTATTTACTTTAAGTAGTATTGTTATCATCCTCTTTAAAGCCTTTAAAATACTTCAGTTTTCATATATCCATCAGAGGTCATTACTGGAGACTTACAAGAACTTAGCTTTGATATAGAGAATATTCAACTAGAATATGATGTATTTTATTTTAAGAAGGATTACTCTTAACACTTTTCACACCATTTGAATTATTTCAACAGTATTAAATCTTGTAGTAGATTTTGATCTGGGTTTAGATAATAATCATTACTGTGTCATTGTATTTATAAACTGGACTTGACAACATTCTTTTATCTTTTTTATCATGACCACAACCCTTTTAAAGTGGGAGGATAAAAATTATTGGAAAAAATATGAACTGTAGTTAAATTATAGGTTTAATTTTATGTGTGGTTCTGGTTAAGAAAATTTTAAATGTTGAGATAAATATGTCTTTTGGTCTACAAATTGGTATGTAATGTCAAAAAATTAACATCTTTGGTGAAAAGTAAATATTATATGCTCAAATAATGAATTTAGAATTATAGAACAAAATGTATGATTTAGATATAGTATTCCTTTAAACAAATATAGTTAGAGCTACTTAAATTTCACATTTATAATCTGTAAACATTTAATTATGAGATATTGAGAATAATTTTAATGGGAAAATTTTGAACAATATGCAGGTTAACCAAACACAACAGAATTTATCAGTCAATACCATAAAATCAATGCCTCCTTCTGCAGTGGGGAAAATTGACAACTTTGTTGCCATAGCAACCACTACACATTGAGAAAAAAAAATCAAACACAGGTGAACAAGTTTCTGTATATTTTGATAATCACATGTGAAAACATAATAGAAGATTATTAGGTATGTCCAATAATTAATAGAATTGGTCATTAGTTTGGTGGTAGGTTCATTCATCGTGAAGCTATCAAATTAAGTATATTCATGTAAGATTTTCATTATGCTAAAATTGAAAAAAAATATTTCTTGTTTTAAAGTATATTTGATTCAAACCAAATATATTGATATAGGCCCATTTACCTAGATATGTTGCCTCTTGTGACAGATGGGAAATATTGAAGTCATGTTTTAATTAAAATTCAGTGGAGTTATGCTAATTTTTTTCAACTGATGATTTTCAGCCTGTGTCATAACTTTTACAATTTTTAAAAGCTAGTCTAGTTAATACATTATAGAGGAAATAGAGGTTTTGAATAAAATCTTTAAAGATAACTTCATATTTGTCTTGTTTACAGGAAAGTGAAGATTTGCAAAAAGTGACTGTTTTCGAAGTATTGGACCAGCAGTGTATTGATCACTGGTTTGATTTTGATTGGCTATAACAGTCACACCCATAACTGATTTTGATTTCTGACAGAGTTCTCAGACAACACCTGTTTGACCTAATCCTTTAGTCTAAAACAAATCTCAATTTTATATCCTAAAAACTAAGCTGTCAGTGTTTTATTTAAGCTAGACAGTATTATAGTAGTAGGTCAGACACAAAAAAAACCAGTGTAAACTGTAAGAACTAAATAAGGTCAAAATGAACCATCTTTCCCCTTTTGATAAAAAGAAGAAACTACAGGGCCATTGGCAGTATGAATCAGGTCACCATAATTGAATGAAAATAGTGAAAACTGTAAACAATATTAAGTGACCCCTTTCCCCCCTCCCCCAGAAATAAAGAAAGGAAGTATGAAATATGTCAGAGACCTAATTTTGTGTTACTACCAAATGTGCCTTTAAAAGTTCAAGATAGGGTCCGAGTACACAGTTATCGTCCTTTGATTTTCGTTGTCCACGAATAAAGTCCCTAGTGTGGACAGTGTGTTGCTTGCCAATTTTTTTAGTACCCCTTCCAAATGTATTCCTTCATGTTTTATGCCTCAAATAGCAAGTAGGGGGATGAAATTACACTGTAAAAAAATTTGGGTCATGAATTGCAAAGTAAAGTAGTGATTTGGTCCAGCTGAAAAAGGTTAAAAATTAGCACTTCGGAAGCTGTCAAAAGATTTCAAGACCCCCTTAACATAGAATTGTCCATATTTTGAGTTAGAGCCGATGAAGTTTTCTATAATTTTGATATAATTTGTCCCAAAAGTAGTACAACACACTGTAAAAATATTATTGAGAAAGCGCAGGTGGGATTTTTTTTATTTTCATTTATTGTCTAAAAGAAATGCACTACGAAATAACTGTGTACTCGGACCTAAGAGGCGAAATCAGTAAATATAGAATCTGTACTTTGGCAACTTCCCTGAATGATTTAATGGTGTCAATTTGTCAGATAGCATGAAACTAAAGGATTTAAACTTTTATTTGATAGAAATTCTGCAAAAATTACCCATTTTGGCATTATATGGTCAAAATAAGCATTTCAAAGCTTTTTCAATTTTGATGCATAAGTGGCATTCTGACTTTCTATGTGACAGGTTTTCCTGTGTCAATATTTGTGTTTCTATGCTTTAACCCAGTTGTATTACTCATTTGTGAACTCTGAATCTACAGAAAATAAGATTATCTCAGACAATATGTGCAAAATGTGTTGTATAAATGACCCTCGTGTAACGGCCTGTTTGGATCAAGTTAAATGTGAGGACCTAGGTACATAAAAGTTGAAGTCCATAATAAAGATTTCACTAAATTTGTATTAAAAGCACTTCACAATGTCTTTTGTACCTGTTTCATTTCACATAGTATCTTTCTTTTCTTATGTTAAATAGCAAGTGGTTCAAATATAAGCCTGCTGAGGCTAAAATTGCATGCGAGTTTTTCACTAAAAAGTGAAAAATCTTTGTATCAGACCATACTGTCTGCAAAAAAAGTAGAATGCAAGAGTCCCTTTATGCTCAGATTTATTGTATCATGTAACCTGAGTATAGAAATTATAAAAGAGACACAAATTTTTATTTCCTATAGCTTCAGTATGCATTTTTAAATGTAAATATGTGCTACGGCCTAAATTGACCCTAAATTATTTTCAGTCTTACTTGGCTTAAGACCCTTTTATACTAATATGGTATGCTATTTGTAATTTTTCTTTCCATTTAAAGTACATTTAATACATATGTAAGGATTATTTATAACCAAAAAACTCCACAAATTTAAAATTGCTGGAAAATAATACATCTTCATGTAAGGCCCCCCTTCATTGGAAAACCTCCATTTTTTGGCACAGGCTCATATAAATTTGACTTTTAAATAATTGTGATAAGTCTGATAAATCAAATGAGTATTCTATTGCTTTAAATACATAATATGTCATATATAAAGCCCTTTAAAATGTAATTTTTTGCAATATTTTAATTTTTAAAGCCCCAAATGTTGATAGTTGAAATTTTTCAATTTAAACGTCAAAATTTAACACGCGAAGTTGAATATAGAATTTATCATATTGTCTATAATATATATCCTATTGCCATGAAACTTTGTCAGCAGTCTCATAATTTATTAAGCTTTAGTCATACCAAGTTTTATTAAGATTGGTCAAATTTTTCTATCCTATTAGGTCCGAGTACACAGTTATCGTCCTTTGATTTTCGTTGTCCACGAATAAAGTCCCTAGTGTGGACAGTGTGTTGCTTGCCAATTTTTTTAGTACCCCTTCCAAATGTATTCCTTCATGTTTTATGCCTCAAATAGCAAGTAGGGGGATGAAATTACACTGTAAAAAAATTTGGGTCATGAATTGCAAAGTAAAGTAGTGATTTGGTCCAGCTGAAAAAGGTTAAAAATTAGCACTTCGGAAGCTGTCAAAAGATTTCAAGACCCCCTTAACATAGAATTGTCCATATTTTGAGTTAGAGCCGATGAAGTTTTCTATAATTTTGATATAATTTGTCCCAAAAGTAGTACAACACACTGTAAAAATATTATTGAGAAAGCGCAGGTGGGATTTTTTTTATTTTCATTTATTGTCTAAAAGAAATGCACTACGAAATAACTGTGTACTCGGACCATAGACCTTTTGAGTCATAAAGTTCAAGATGATTTTGTTGAATTGAAAAAAAAAATACTACTGTCTTGTACAATGGACCATTCCATTTAATATATGAAAAAGGGGGGGGGGGTCTTTTCTTGTCTAAATATGTAAAAATGAGGGGTTGATGGCACAATTTGGCATCTTAGGGATTGAAATTTGCCTGAAAATTTTCTTGAGGGGGTCTTTGACAAGGTAACCATCCACTCCCCCTGTCCAGAAATTAAATGGAATGGCCCAATAAAAGAGGCTTTATAGAAGATTTAAGTATAAGCTTCTGTTATGAGAGGTCTAATGAACTCACAACTCCCTGAATTGTGAAAAAATGCATTTGATTCAAGGCCCAAAAACAACAAAAACAACAAATGATTATAGATTCTTTTTTTTTTTCTTTTTCAGTCTGATGCAAAGTTAGTTTTAGATGTGATAGCACGTATGGAAGATACTGAACCATTTTCAGAAGAACTTCTAGCTGCCATGAAAAGATTATGGGCAGACACTGGTGTACAAGAATGTTTTGGGAGATCAAATGAATACCAATTAAATGATTCAGCAAAATAGTAAGTTTTACAGTAAAATTTGCAATCAAACATTTATTTTGTAGTACTAACAAAGAACAAATACCAGGTAGATTACTGTCAGTTCTTTGGTTGTTGATTTTTATGCCCCACCTAGGGGCATTATGTTTTTCGGTCTGTGCGTCAGTTCATCCATCCGTCCGTCTGTCTGTCCCGCTTCAAGTTAAAGTGTTTGATCAAGGTAGTTTTTGATGAAGTTGAAGTCCAATCAACTTGAAACTTAGTACATATGTTCCCTATTATATGATCTTTCTAATTTTAATGCCAAATTAGAGTTTTGACCCCAATTTCACTGTCCACTGAACATAGAAAATGATAGTGTGAGTGGGGCATCCATGTACTATGGACACATTTTTGTTCAACTTATTAAGGAGTGGGGCTATATTGCAATCACGTTTTCTGTCCTTCCATTTGTTAGTCCTTCCATTTGTCAGTCCTTTATTCCATCTGTCCTTGTGTCCAACAAATATTTTTTTGTCAGACTTTTCTCAGAAACTCCTATACATTATTTCTTCACATTTGATTAGCAGCTAGCCAGTGATGAGTTGTAATGTGTTAGCACATTTCTTTAATATTGCTGAACAGAATGACTTCATATTTTGTCAGCAGCACATCAGTGATGTAACATGTTTGTGCATTTGAGATCTGTCAAGACACCTTCCCTGTACTTCATGTTTTCCCATACTTTGAATTCTGAATTGGGCTATGCTTAGCATGACAATGCCTCACCAACACAGTAACAGACACAGTTACTACTTTTATTGTCATCCACCAGATGGGGATTCAAGATTTTGAAAAAAGGGGGGTCGACCGCCAAACTATGCAGTGTTTGGAATGGGACATGTAAAAAGACTATGTATTGACTATAGATGTAGCATCGTAAAAAGGGGGGCACCCTGGGTTCCCCCCTAAATTTGCCACTGTCCACTACCTCTTTCCAACATATAACAGTTTTCTCTTATCCTCTGAGGGAAATTTATTTGCATGTTTGACTGTAAAATTTATATTTATACAGGTTTTCAACTTTTGATATTTTAAGAGCATTCTAGTTCAGAAGTAATTTCTTCTTTAATCTTGTTCTGTATTGTTACTTGAAATAGTCTATCCTCCTCTTAATCAGTGTTTTAAAATCACATCCTGCTCATTATTCAAAAACTTAACAAATTATATATTTGACTAAGGGGTCTCGGTGACTGAGTGGTCTAAGAAGTTCATCTACTGTATCACTAGCCTGTCAACACTGTGGTTGTGAGATGCCGAACCCTGCACGTGGCAGGTGTGTTTGACTCGAATCTTAATCGACTAGGGTTTCTTCTTTTCCTGCCAAAGGTCCTGGTTCTCTCCTGGCACTCAGGCTGCCGCAATATAGCCAATTAAGTGCTGATAGAGGCATTCAACACCAAAAAATCCATCATATATTGACAAGTAGTAAGCTAATGAGAATTGTGCCCCCATTTACCCAGACTTATCACCAAAAATAATTAAATTTTGTTGAGGTATGTTTTATAGGTTTGTACATGTGTTCAATTTGAATGTCTATGAAATTACAAGTTAGAGTGTGAGAAACATATTTCTCTAATTCTTCGTCAATTTATCCCTTTCTGCACCTATTGTATAAAAAAATTTAATCAAAGTGTGGTTCGTTTGGTCTCAGTTCTTCATTGGTTAAAATCTGATTATGACGTCAAATTTACTTGCTTTCCTTTGAATTTCCTATTGTGACGGCATGAAAAAAGGCGACCATGCCTGATGATGTCACATAGAAAGAACACATCTTTTTACAGATCATTCGAAAAGACGGAATAAGTTTGCCTGCATATTGTTTGAAAATCATTAGAGAAACAGATTCCACCACCAAATCTCGTGTAATGCGATATTTATCCACTCTCGACAGTTAAATTTTAAATATTTAAAAATTTAACTGTCTCCAGTGGATAAATATCGTATCACACCCGATGCAGTGGTAGAATCTATATATAATCTTTATCATGTTTATGTATGCCATAACATGTGTCACATTTTCCATTCCTTTAATGTTCTACTTTTTGTTTGCTTTATACTTGTATGAAATTTCTGTCAACAACATTGAATGGGGGCATAACTAATAAGAAATAGCTCATAGGACATCTTGTTATTTTTAGTTTGACCTTGTCCTTGTTACCATGTTAAATGTTTTGTATGAATTGCTGCCATACTTTGAAAATTGAAAATATTGACAGACATCACAGTGTAGCTGTTTCTCAGGCTCATTTAGAACGTGATAATTGCCAGACAATATTTTACCATATAAGGTTAAAACTACTAGAAAAAAGATGAAAAAACTCTTTTTATGCATTTATCATATATGAAACTCCTTAAGGGGGAAGGGAGCCAAGCCCTCTGCCCCCCTCAAATCTCCCTCTGTTTCTTATAATCAGTCTAGAAGTAGATTGTACTTATGTTGAAAATATTGACTTAAAAGTAGTTCACAAACATTGTATTGAACATATATATGTGGGATCAACTATCAATGAACAGATGGCTAATTAATTCTAATACCTTCAAATTGTGCAAAATCAGCAGTTTTAACAAATAGGTTAGTAAACTCCCGCCCCCTTTATGATGCATGCCAGAACTGCAGGTAGCTCAGAACAATCACATTAGACGGAATTATATTTAATAATCCCAAGAGAAAACTTAGATATTCTCCATGAATATATAACCAGTATTCTGCCCACATATTTATTAAAAAATAATATTTTACTTCATACAGACCAAAGATTATACACAAATGCAATTATTGATTTAATTACCGTATTTATAACTTGTTTACTAATCATATAACCCATTAGAGATACAGCAAAACATCATGAGTCATTTTCTCTACTAAAAATATGCACCGTTCAAACAGAGCTCTATAGCTTTGCTATAAATATCAAAGTTCAAGCTGCTTTAAGAAGATATGTGTGCCAAAAAGTACATACAATTATTCAAGTATTTCTCATCCAAAGATTTTAAGGCAGATTTCACACTCAATGCATCATTACTGATTCTAAGATGTACAATCAGATAAATATAATTACACCAAACAAATAACATGAATAAATGGCTTTGTGACTATGGTATGCCAGATAGACACATACTGATCAAGACATTGCAAGGAAGATAAATGAATGGTGTACATTCTTTTGATTCCTTCAAGGAGATTCTATGCACCTAAGTTATATCTTCAAATTTTGCTCTGCATCTAAGATATATTAAACATTTCTACAAACTCATTTCACCACTCTAGGGCTGAAAGATTCAAGTTGTACTTTTTGAAGGGAAACTTCAATGGTTTGCATGAATGAAAAGAAATGTGGGTTATACAAGATCGTGAGGATCTGCCCATTTAGTCATAGTTCTAGCCTAATTTTTCCTCAATTTATACATTATTTTAAAATTCTCCAATGAATAGGAGGGGTGAAACCACTAGAACATCCCCCTCTTGATCTGACAATAAAGGCCTGTCAGCTGATGTAAATTTTGAACACTTCCTGTTTTACAGAAGTCTAATAAATTATTGATGGAAATGAATTTATACAATTCTGCATAATTGGATATTGAAACCATTCTTTATCATGTTTATTTTTGACCTGCCTTGTTGCAGACTATGATATTCGACCCATTCTTCCACCCACTGAATTTACAGAGGAGTATATTATTACAAACGAATTAAATAGTTTTAATTTGTGAATTTTATATTGTTGCAAAGGTTGATGTGCAGTTTTAGAAAACAAAATAATTTAAGAGCAGAATATTAAATATTATCTGGTCACTTTGGGATTGGTGAATTGAAACCCAATAGGAGTTTACGGTAATATTTGTGTAGGCAGCCATGTTTTACGCAGAATATTGAAAATTACGAAGTCTTTGTGGTTTTTACCACAATACTATATTATCTCTGGGATATTAGGATTGCTAATTTTATTATTGACAAATTATCAATTCAAAAATTGCGACAAGTGTTCCTGATTTGATGCATGTACACTTTAGCCTTAGAATGTCAAATTCAAAGATGTTCCCTATCCCCTTCCTAACTGCACCCAGTAGACAATAGGATGGGTGGATTGTAGACTTTATTTCTTGTTGGTAAGATCGTTACCATATTGAAGATTAAAATGTGAGAAGTTACTCCTAGAGTTTGAAATAAGGCATTATTTTCTATCAAATAATATGTTGAAAGTAGTGTGCATTTTATTGACTAGATGATTTCTATCTTCACTAATTGTTTCCCTTACAACAAATGTTGCTTCTAGGTGAAAAAATATTCCTGTCTGGTGCTGGAACAAGTCTACCATTGGCAACACCTAAATCTTTAACATAATTTCTTGTAACTGTTCCAGTATTTTTTATATTCCATAAGACCTTTTTAAAGAAAGTAATAGCTGTTAAATTCAAATTATTATGGAAACTGGTGAAATTTACCTGTAATGTTGCCTAAGCTTCAGTGTTTTGTATTACTATTTTTGATTTGATTCTTTTTAATTTATATAAAAACAAATAGATTGCTATAATGCCAATTAAACAACTACTTGTATCCATATTGACCAGAGGACAAAGATGTGAACATTTAAGTGTCACTCTAAAAAACAGGTGACGTTTGTATTCAGATTCAAAATGCATAGGTAATACAACAGCGAGTCAAGAAGAGGGTTTTTGCCTTTATAGCAAGTTTGACTGTTTGTGCTACACTGCAGCTTTTCCAATGTCACCAGTTTGATAAGCATATTGCTATAAGATTTGAATTGGTCAGATTTATGACATCATGACATAGATCTCTTTGAATTTAAAATTTCTGTCTTGTCAGATTGGAGACTAATTTCTTTGATATGATTATGAACTTTCAACTTTCTTTTTTCAGCTTTTTAGATGATTTAGATCGTTTAGGAGCTAAAGATTATATGCCAACAGAACAAGACATATTACGAACTAGAGTAAAGACAACTGGAATTGTAGAAGTACACTTTTCATTTAAGAATTTAAATTTCAAGTAAGTATTTTGTATATGGTGGCCCTCCTTGTCTTTATACATGCCTGATGACAAAACAAACTCCATAACTGATAAAAATATAAGAACTGAAATATAGAATTATTCTATTAGTCTTAGAACTGGTGAAAACTGGTCAGATATAATATAATACAGTTTCAGTTTTTGGAAAAGATTTGTTTTCTCGTTTGAATTGTTTTACATTTGTCATTTCAGGCCTTTTATATATATAAATAGCTGACTTTGCAGTATGGTTTTTGCTCATTGTTGAAGGCCGTACGGTGACCTATAGTAGTTAATTTCTGTGTCATTTGGTTTTTTGTGGAGAGTCGTCTCATTGGCAATTATACCACATCTTTCTTATTTTTATATTATCTTACTTTAAGGAATGACATTTGAGTGAAGGTCAATGAGACAGCAACCAAACAACAAAAGGCATGATTTTTTGGGTATATTCCAGGAAATGTGTTGTATTGAAATTAATAAGTGACTTTTTTATGTTGCTCTTCATCTAATTGTATCATTCTATTAATTCACACAGGATAATGTGTAAGTAGTCTATCAAACTCACACATAAGAGTTTTTATCTTATATTTAGGCTTTAAGATAAAGTAGGTATGACTTCATCTGAAGTATTGCAACCCTGGAGGTTAATGAGGCATCGTCTGCAATACTGTTAAACATTATTTTTAAATTCAAAGTAATTCAAATTTTCGTAAAGTACATATTTGATTGCGTGTATTATTTGCAAAAATATCTATCTTAATTTCCTTCTGCCTCTTTTTATCATAGTCTGTGTAAAGATATAGAATTCTTAGTAACAACATGAACAAGTTTCTTCCTGTTTATACAGATTTTTGTAATATCATAATTGATTTTTGTATAAATAGATTTCCATGGCAAACAGTAATTCTTCAAACATAATTAGAAATGACCAATAAAGTATTGATATACATCAACTGGTTAGGGAGCTACCATTTAATTTTTATGGGGGGGGGGGGGGGGGGGGGGGCTAGGATGAAAAATCTTGTCCTTCATTTTTTTTAGTTGTAATCTCTGTCCTGCCTTTTCATTTTTCTCTCTATTCGGTCCTGCATTTTTTTTTATTAGTTGATCCTGACTTTTTTTACATAATTTGTCATTCTGCATTTTTTTTTGCAAAGTTGCTCATCCTGCCTTTTTTTTTTTACTCAAAACTCCTGTCCAGCCTTTTTTCAAATTTCATCTTATTTCAACATGTGGTGTATTTTAACATCAATTGATCAGAATATATTAGTTCTCTTTTAATTTATTGAATTTATTGGGAAAATACAGTGATGAAATTGATTTCTGTTGATGACATCATTGCTGGTTATTGTTTAAACCTCAAAGTTATATCTCTGGGGAATCTATCTGTCTGAAAATTATTATTATCTTTTTGTCCATGGATTTACAATGTTACATTATCAATATTGATCCTTGTCTGTGACGATAACTTGGATCACATTCATTAATATGCCTAGCATTTAGGTCAGCTGGTAGCTATAGGCCCCTGAGGCCTTTTTTCTGATTTTTGCATTTACTGGTTGAAAATTATAATGGCCTTGGTTTTTGTTAAATAATTCTTTTGGCTTGCTAAATTTATTAGAAATTTTGGACTTTGACTGTACAGTTTTTTTTTAAAAAATATTCTGAAATATAAATGTACAACACCCATGGTCCAATTTCAAACTAAAGAGTATTTTTAAAGTCATTCACACTGTGATACATGTAAATGGTTGTACATTGAATCGACATTCAAGCATAAAAATGTTCTCTTTGAATTCAAGTCTACAAAGGGGCCGCTGTGTTCAAGTAGTCTAAGTAGTTCAACTACTATATCACTAGCCCATCAACACTTAGGTTGTGAGGTCGAACCCTGCATGTGGAATTTGACTCTAATCTTGGTTGACAAGGATTGTCAGTTTTCCTGACAAAGGTCTGTGGTTCTCTCCGGGCACTCTGACTTCCACCACCAATAAAAATTGACCACCATGTTGTAGCCAATAGTGCTGAAAGTTGTGTGTAAACACCAAAAATCAATCAATCAATCATGTTCACAAAGTTGGAGGCAAGTTGACATCTTACACTTATTTACACATACAGAGATCTTGATAGCACTAACATTGTCTGATTGTTCCTCTTTCTCTGGCTTACACATACACTTAAGACATGAAGTGCTTTGTTGATGCAATGGTAGTAGGACCAAGTTTTTTTTTGAGAAAATTAGCAGATTTGATTAAGTTTCTTTTCTATTTACAGATTATTTGATGTAGGAGGACAGAGATCAGAAAGGAAGAAATGGATACACTGTTTTGAAGATGTAACAGCCATTATATTTTGTGTAGCAATGAGTGAATATGACCAAGTACTACATGAAGATGAAACTACAGTAAGTCACTTCATTTATAGCAATGCTGCTCATCTATTCACTTACTTTTTAAAAATATTTAATTCACCATTGCAGAGTCCAAAGAATTCTGAGTTATATTTTCAAAAATATTAACACAAAAGTGTTTGGATTGGTTACCATGGTAAACAAATTAAACGATGGAAATTCAGTATTCCCCAAGGTCTCTCAAACCTTACCAGACATTTGGTCCAGTTAATATGGGGACTGCACTGGACTGAGGATCATTCTTACCTGTCATTTTGTTATTTTTCATATAAAAAATTCTGAATATTTACTGGACATTTGGTCTAGTTAAGCAACATCGTTTACCAGACCAAACCCAATTTTACCCGTCATTTGCCAATGTCCGATGGAACTTTAGAATTACTGGAAATTCAGCAAATAATTTAATACAATTTTATTTCAGTATATGAACAATGAAAAGTCCTTTAGATTTAAAAACTTCAAATTGTTATAAAACCTTTTTGAAATATGAATGGCCATTAAAAATCAAAATTGCACAATTAAATGCTGGTAAATTAATTGTAAAGTCAACTGAATCAGATTATTTCACCTGAGCAATTTATTGTATGTAATGTCGGTATCAATATGTAACAAAGCCCAGAATAAATATATGAACAAATATAATACTGATCAATGTTGAAATGAGCATAGAGCATGACAGGAAAGGATCATTTAGATACTAATAGGATAATTGGACTTTTTTGTCCAAGCAAACATGATTTAATGAAGCAAAACATTCTAAATACAAGTGTTTCATGATTTAAAAGTGAACAAATACTGTAAATTCAGAAATTATTGGGAGGTTTTTATGATTGGGATCAATGTGACTTGGTTAGTAACGCAATAATTTGATCTCACAATCTGATATTTGATAATATATCTGTATGCAGATGTTTTATTGTGAAACTTGATTTTCTATATAGTTTTGGCTTCATAAAATCATAATGGCTGCCTTTCAAACGTGTATTATAGGCCCGATTTGAAATTCAAAAGTTCTAAATTTTCCTATTAGAATCGAAATAATTCTGTCATGCCATGCTCTATGCTCATTTTAAAATGGGTAGGCATTATATTTGTCAACATTTTACACATCTTTAAAGCTTGGTATAAAAATATTGACAAATATAATGCCTACCCATGTTAAAATGAGCATTAAGTATGGCATGAAAGAATTATTTCTTAATTTTTGTCTTTTCTTAAAAAATCTCAATAATAAATGCGCGCAATAATTTCTGAATTTACAGTATATATAAACTTAATTCTTTAAAAAGGTTTTATTGAATTTCATTGCCAGTTGCTCCCACTCAAATGTCCATTTCATCTCCAGTGTCTTTCAAAATATAATTGACATTGCATATTCGATGGCGATGTCAGGAATGTGTACTACATGTATTTGTAATAAGAACATTACAAAGGAAAAGAAGAGAATCATATTAGACCGACCTTTAGGTGTTTTTTGGGTTTGAGTTGATTGGTTGTTGCTTCATTGAAATTTCTCCTGTTAGTCATATAAAAAATCTACTTCCTCATTGTGGTAATATCTTTTTGTTCAAACTGAAATTGGCCTTTTGTTTTCACTTTAATTATGTTTATTTTGAAAAAAAAATCAGAAAGATAATGTGTTTTGACCTTTCATGAAGTTATTAGATAATTGAATTCTAAAGTTGTCATGGATTCTATCTGTTACTTTATATTCTTTTAAATTTTACATAATAGTCAAATGACTTTTTCAGCATTATATATATCGAATATTTCTTATAATATAACATTTCAAAATCTTAAATAAATTATGGAAATCCTCTAATAGACCACTTTCGAGTTATGTCCTTCACCAAAAAAGTTCATCAATTATGCGCGCCTTTATGACGTCATTTATATGATAGAGGGGATGGCCTGTATCCCTGCTCTATTAAAGTTCATCAAGCGTCTTTGTGATCGTCATTATGCAGGATAAACTAGAAATAATATATGATCCATAGGTACTTCATCACAATTCCCTAGTGCAGCAGAACTGATGAGCAATTATAAGAATTTAATTTGCTGAATATAGCATCATATTTTCTCAACCACTTGCTCAACATGGAAAGGAAGTGACGATGCCCCTAAATGCATGAACAATGTTCATTAAAACCAAAGTTTTTGACGGAGATGCAACGAACTCGAAAGATGTCTATTATGTTACCATATATCATATATGATTACATAGTGCACCTCCATATCACAAAGCATCAATTTATTTTGTACCATAATTGCTAACTGCATGGTCAGGCAAAAAATCTTTAAACAGGTTTTCTGATGATTGAAAGTGATGATTTTTTTACTTTTGCCATTCAGGAGTTATGTCCTTGATAGATTGGAAAATAGCCACATAAAGTGGCAGTTTAAACAAGCCTGAACATGCCTTCAAAGTACAAAAAAAACCTGGTTTGCTGTCAGTTTGACAGCTAATTTCATTTTTTTATTGAAAAGAAGATTGATTTATAATAAGTTCCACAGATAAGTGTTGGTTTGCCAAAACCAAAACAAGATTAGCTTTGTTAAGTTAAGCTCAGTTGTATGCTTCCGCACAGCTGTTTTTAACTATGTATGGAAATGATGAATGTTAAACATTGCAGCTCACATGTGTCAAATTTAACAGTCAAAGATGTTCCTGTATTGTTTCTATCATTAAACTGTGTTTTTATATATCTATTTCCAGAATCGAATGCAAGAAAGTCTAAAACTGTTTGATTCAATTTGTAACAACAAATGGTTTACAGACACATCTATTATATTATTTCTTAACAAGAAAGATCTCTTTGAAGAAAAGATTAAGAAATCATCATTGACAATTTGTTTCCCTGAATATACAGGTATGTCATATATGTAAAAACTATTTTCAAATAACTACAAAATAACATTATACAATGGTGCCTATAAAATGAATTATTCCACAGTTTAAGGTAGAACTCTAATTTTTAAAATTGAAAAAAAAGGTATAGATGGTGTATTTAGTACATAAACCCAAATGGCAACACTCACTTGACAGAACCAAAACAAAAGAACAGTGCTTTAATTGCTGTTATTCATCTCTAAGTCACAGTTATGCCTTGGACATTTAGCAATAGGTACATGTAACACAGTACAACCAGTTTGAGAGGAATTCTTTTGTAAATTATGGGTAAAGAAATCTTGAAAAAAACTTGACATAAGTTGCCTGAAAATCTCATGGTAGAAAACAGAAACAACTCATACACAGAAGACAACAATGGGCCTCATGTTAGAAAAGTTAGCATGAAGTAATGTATGAATAGGGCAAATAATTGTAGAACACTAATAACGCATTGTGTAGTATATTAGAAGTAAATTCTAGACTGAGAAACCTTTAATATATAGACCAAGACTTTGATAGAAACATGGGTGTTTCAGAAATCAAAGTTGTGAAGTACATGGGATAGGTCTATGATCTTTGATGAATGCAGTTATTTTCATATTACCCACCTTTTGACTCCAGAGTTTATAATTTTTTACAACAGGTTACCTACTCTGTGGTAGAACATCCTGGTACTGGGTCAAGTAAGAGCAACTGAAAAAGTAAAATCTAGCTACAATCGGTACAATCTTGGAGGAAAATTAACTGTTTTATGTTTTTTATGCAAGACAAAACTTTCTGAAAACATTAAACTTTACCCCCAAATTTCACTGACTATATGTTAGATTTTACTTCTTTGGGTTGCTCTTACTTGACCGAGTACCAGGATGTCCTACTGCAGAGTAGGTATCCTGTCAAAAAACGATAAAATCCAAAGTCAAAAGTCGGTAATATGAAAATAGTCTATTATAAGTCTCAATATTTGTTTTCCAAGCTCTTAGTCTTGAACATACTGGGGATTGATTATTATACGAGGGTCACCAATTTTGATGGATTTCATGGGTACAGGGGAACCACGAATTTAGATGTTTAATGAATTAAGAATGTTCTATAGGAATGTATACAGAATCTGTTAAAACCACAAAATCAAATATCTATGAAAATGCAAGCTTTCCTCAATCCACGAAAATAAATGAATCCACATTACCGGATGAACATTGTTCCAAATGTACATGTGTCTTGTGGAAGGAAATGATATCATATGTACATGTGTCTTGTGCAAGGAAATCATATCATGTACATGTGTCTTGTGCAAGGAAATGATATCATATGTACATGTGTCTTGTGCAAGGATATCATATCATATGTACATGTGTCTTGTGCAAGGAAATCATACCATATGTACATGTGTCTTGTGCTAGGAAATCATATCATATGTACATGTGTCTTGTGCAAGGAAATCATATCACATGTACATGTCTTGTGCAAGGAAATCATATCATATGTACATATGTCTTGTGCAAGGAAATCATATCATATGTATTTTACAGGTAATCAAACCTATGAGGAGGCAGCTGCTTATATCCAGGCACAGTTTGAAGCTAAGAACAAAAGTTCAACGAAAGAAATCTACTGTCATCAAACTTGTGCAACTGATACGCAGAACGTCCAGTTTGTCTTTGATGCTGTTACCGATGTAATCATAGCCAACAATCTACGTGGATGTGGCTTGTATTAGTCTTGGGCTGTTGAGCGTTTGTATGTGATTTGTATTTCTACGTGCATTGTGAGAATCAATGTGACCATGACATTAGTAAACAAATTGACAAACGATAAACAATCATAATTTGCAAAGTTCCGAAGTACTGTGTAACCGTCTGAAATATTAAATGTGTTATAACTGTGCAATTATGAAATAGTTTATCACCAAGAAATACCTACACAGTGATCATTTATGTTAAACACTAGAATGTGACTGCTCATGAAGAGATGTGTAACACAGAAAGGTTGAGGCCAAGCCTAATAATCAGGACTAGAATTTTTTTTTTAGAAAAAAAAATGGATTGTTTCTGGTCTTGACATCGAATGTGAAAGTAGTATGATGAAAAGAAATGGAGGAATATGAAATAAACCATTTCTATATTGTTGTCACTTGCTAAATCACAGTACCACAGATATTTCATGATATAAATGTTTTTTCTTTTCATTTTGCCTTGAAAATACCGTGCATTTTTATGTTAGTAATTCACAAACATTATGTCATCAAACATCTAATGTAATTCTCTGTACTACCTATAATATATTAACTAATCTGTATTTCAATGTGATAAATATAGAATATGATAATACTTGGGAAATTCCCTTTTATGCGCTGGTGGATTTCAGAATTCATATTCATTTACCGTTGTTCCAGAAGCCACACCTCCTTATATATGCAGAATACATTTACTGTAATGTGACATTTATGATTGACTAAATATAGATCACCAATATCATCATTTGTGAATACTGAAATCCACCAGGAACGAGAGATTAATGGGCAATGTTTGTCCTTTAGAGCTCTTATATATACTGCAATTATTTGTCACCAGTCTGGAAACTATTTATGACTTGTGAAAATCTGTAAAGAGCTCAAATATTCTGTCTCAGTTTTTTTTTTTTGAACAATTCCATTTAAAAGTGCTAGGGTAAGGAAATGATTATTATTTAGTTGTCAAGATTTGTTTTGTTTTGTAAATGGCATAGTAATATATAATATAATCAGAAAGATGTTTTAGGAGTAACTTGTATTTTCATGACTGCACCCCTCAGATATCTACAGTTTCATTTATCAATGAAATGTACATGTACTTTGTTATTTTATGATAATAGCAGCATTCAGCTAGTAGTAATGCAGTATTCGGTTATTCACAGAGTGCCAGTCCACTCTTCAACAATTTACATCAGGTCGATATCACTGCTGTCAACAAATTTCAGGATCTAATTGTTACCCAAACTAGCAAACATGATTCAAATTGAAAGATCATATGGATTGTCTGGTATATGTTGATGTTTTCAGTTTACATATTTTGTGTTTTATACATGCCAAAATTTAATTTAACTTTTTATATTTTTTTCTGTTGTATTTATCAATAGAAAACCAATAGTTTACATTCTGTTTTTTTCTAATTAAAATTTTTCTTGAGGATAACGTCTTTTTTTCGAAGTATTTTACATTTAGTTCATAATTATTATTTACTGTAGAATTGATATATTTTATTACCATGACTACAGGAATATGAAGAGCAAGTGTCTTTTTGCCTCAATGACCTTTATGACAAACAAAACAAGTTTATGCATTTTTTTCTTTTTTCAGTGCATGAAAAATATTTACCGGTAATGTATTAAATAGGAGATCAGAGGGAAGGGATTGTGCAATTTTCTGGGAGGATTTCACCAATTTTCACAGCTTCAAATTATAATAATAGTAGTATTATTTATGTATATTGTAGTCAGTTAAGTTAAACACATCAGTGTGTGATATAGATATTACAATATTGTTGGAATTATTTATAAAGATTATATGTGACCATGATGCATGTGAAATCTGAGTGCCTGAGAAGCTTGATGTTCAATTTTCTAGTTTCTGTGAATGTTTGTGCTATTTATGGAAAGATGACATTTTTGAGATATTGTGTATATTTGTGGATAAATATTTCCTTTTAAATGTAGAACATTACTGGGAAATTTGTAGCATTTTTTTTTCAGACAGTGGCTACAGTAATTAACCAGCATTTTTCAATAGTCATTATCTGATCTTACTTGTCAAGTGAAGTTCTGCATCACTGATCATAGTAGAAAAAGTTAATTACTTCAGCTGCATGATAAGTATATAGTTTTAGAGCTATGGTAAATTGCAAATTTATTGTACCCAAAACAGAAGTTTTCACCTGATAGAAACCAAGCAGATAGATTTAGTTGATATAAAAGGGATAATAAACATTGTTGATCTTTCCAGTTTTTAATCCGTTTATTTCAGTAACTTATGTAAAAAAAAATTTAAAAAAATGAAGGGCTTGATAATTTTCAGTTAACAAAGCATTGTGAATTAAAAAAACACTTTCTCATAGCTTCTAATACAAATATACTTTGTAAAAGTTCCAAAAATCCACCATGCGAGACAAAATTAAAATTGTGTATAAATATATGTTATCAAGAAGTTGTGCAAACCTTTAAATTTTGAAACACATTGTACTTGTGTGGTGGGGTCATCCAAATTCATGCTGACACGCTCTAGGAAACTTAACGAATTCAAAAATATTGTGAAAGAAAAATTGTATTTGAAAATGACTGAAGAATGTTTTGTGCTATTGAGGTGAATAAATTTTTGCAACTTGTTAACAATTAAACATAAAATAAATTTTTCTTAGCATGTGAGGCGTAAACACAAAACTTTTATGAAAAATAACTTTCCAGTGATTATTAAATAAGCAGTGGGAGCAAAATTTCCTTTCTAATTGCACCATTTAATAAAAATTCAGTTTAAGATTTCATTTCAGATATTAAAAGTAGGCCATACTAGTGTAATCAATATTTGTATGAACAGCAGGACAAAGAAAAGGAACATTGCTTTTACCATAATAAGTTTAGATTTGGGACCATAAAATTCAGACATAGTTATCTAGAAATCAAAATGATCATATTTGCTATGTGAATGGTCCAATTTTTCCCAAATATGTTTAGTATAATTTTCCAACAGTAGTGTGAATCTCAACTTCCCATTATTTCTTGATTTTCACCCTGCTTGAAAATTGAAATGCCTAAATATATACCAGGTTTAAAGCAGTTAAAATTTTATAGCGTGTTGAACAAACAAAGGAAAAAATATTGCTTTGTGCTTGAGGTATTCTTAATGGAATTTCCTGTAATGTTTTGTAGAAATATTGTGTGTATTATGACATAAAAAAAATCATGTGTTTATTCAAATTGTGATGACAGTTGCTTAAAAGTAAGAATGCTTAAAGAAATTGATTCATTGAAAAAATAATGACCAGTTACTAAAAAATGAGCAGGCTTATAAAGTATGTAGTCATATTAAATATTTGACAGTAACCCCTTCAAGATGAGTAAATTATGCTCAGTAATTGTTGGATATTTTAAAATCTGTACAGTTAGTTGGGTGTATGGATACTGGTCAATTACGGAGTAAATAGATTTCGCTGCAACATTGACTACTCTTTAAGATTTAGAAAACTATACCCAGAAATTGTTTTAAGATTTTATATTCCATACCATTTATTGATTCCGTGGAAACTGATCACTTGCAGAATTTTGAAATATATTTGTTGTTTACTATTTATTCTGTGTGTGCTCAGCCAAATTGTTACCATCTTACAAAGAAAAAACAGAATAAGTATTAAATGACTTATTAAACAAAATTCTGTAAAGTTTTCAGTCCAATAAATGATTATTTCCAATTTTTTTTTTAATTATATTAATTATAAAATATTTTGAATAAAGGAATTTGTAACAGATCTTTTAGCTTAAACTTATTGCATATTTCTTTAGAATGACAATGTTAAACAAAACTTAATATTGTTTTGAGAGAGAAAAAAAGGTCAATGAATTGAATTACACAAAACTTAATATTTTACCATATCTTGGCATATAAGTATAAATATTAAAACAATTATCTGTTGTGCAAGTTGCAAAATTACAATATTGTCTTAAAATTAATAGCACTATGTTTGTTTTTAATATAAATATATATATATACATATACATATTCATGTGTTTAGGGAGATGATAAAAGATTTGAATTGAATGCCGACTATTTTTAGACTAACACTTTTAGTTCATGTTTTTTATTTTATTAGGCAAATGGTTTTGTTGAACATATCGTACGTTTTGTATTGCAGATTTTCATTTCAATTTTTTTAACTGTTTATTTGTATTACTTGCGTTTTGTCATATTGTAATAATGTGATACTTAAAACATGCTACACTTATTACGGTACTTCTTTCTCCCTTTTGCCGTGGATCTAAAGATGCATAGATGAATTCTGAAATGGCCCCTAAATTTTGTAATCTTTTAAAAAAGGGAAACAATTTTTTTTTCAAATATATTACAATCTGAAAATTAAGGCTTGTAATAACTTGTAAGAATAATTTTAAGAGAGAAAATGTGTTTCAAAAAGGTAAACTTTTTTAAGAGATGCATGGTTTTGAAAATGGTGGATTAACTTATAAAATCAGATAAACAGTTTACAGTTGTTATTGAGCATTTTCTAACTTAGGTTAAAAGGGTGATTCCCTTAAGAGGATTTCCTACCTTAGGTATTTTAAATTTGAAGCCTAACATGTTTATTTGAGTATTGTATACCTCCTATTTCTCAAGTATGATTTTAAACAACCACGAGTTAATCTTTGCTTACCAAAATTCAAATGAAAAATTAATGATAGCCCTAACAAGAAATATATTCAGCTTTACTTAAACTTTTACATACATTCAGTATAATTTTTGCTTTAAGACTATGAATGAAAAAATCTGCTCTTTCAGTTAGGTAAACATAGTTTTCATTCAATCTTAGCTTTACAAGTATTTTAGCCACTACTATTTCGAATGAAGTGATTGCAGATTAATTCAAGTTAATCAGATATATTCTTTTGCTTTTATGTGAGATATGTATAAATATTTTCACATGTTGAAAAAGATATCAATTAAAAACGTATAGACAAGTATTTGAATCTACGTTAAGAGATAATTTTGTGATGTTGTACAAAATAAAGAAATGCTATATAACACAAATTTCTGCTTTTTTCTATTTTCTATTATGTATAATTTGACTCTTTCTTGTTACTGACATGTGCAATAACTTATTTTCTCTCTAGTCAATGTTAATAAATGTCACAATATTGCTTCTGTGTTGTTTTATGTCATAAAAAAGGGGGAGAGAAGTTACAAAGGGAGCGAGCAAAAAAACATAAGTTTGAAACTATGAACCCACCCCCCCAAAAAATGTAAAAAAAGTCAAACAACAAACTTTACACAGAAACTAAGGATTGAGCAACTTGAACCAGGGGTTCAAATAATACGTGTTGAGGTCTAGGACTTGACTTTTCTGGAAGGATTATTTGATTTTTGAATTACAAAAGACCAGGCCCCTTTTCACTTTAAGATTCAAATGGTTCTGGACCTTTCATTCTTTAAAGTAAAGCAAATTTGAACCCCACTAAAATCCATGTTCAATGATTTTACTACATAATTCAGTAAAAAATGTTGAAATTAACAAATATTCAAGTCACAACACAAAAGGATTTACGACCCAAAAAGACAAAAAGATAACAATTTTTATTTTCATACTTTAAGATAAATTATATTGAACCTGACTGCTTTGATAATTGCATCATGCAACCCTTAAGAGTTGATCTTCCACAAAAAGATTTACAGAAAGGTAAAATGTAAATCTATCCAATATGCATAAACATATAACGATCTGGATAATGTCAGTAGTTGTTTTTATACGCCCGTCAAATTTTTGACGGGACGTATTATGTTATACAAATGTCCTGCGTCCGTCCGTCTGTCTGTCCGGCGTAAACATGTCGCACCGTAACTTGAGAATGACTTATCCAAATTTCATGAAACTTAACATAGTTGTTTCTTATGATGGTCAAACGATCTGTATACTTTTTGGTGAAAATAAGATTAAAACTTTTTGAGTTACGGGACTTAGTAACTAAAACAGGTGTGTGTTTTTTTTCACATGTCGCGCCGTATCTCAAAAACGATTTATGACTATTGCTTAAAATTTTACACACTTCTTAGTTATATTAATCTAAAGATCTGTATACTTTTTGGTTTTGATTCAAAATTTTATTTTTGAGATATTGATTTTTTTTTTTTAAAAGGGGGGTTTTCACATGTCGCGCCGTATCTCAAAAACGATTTATGATTATTGCTTAAAATTTTACACACTTCTTAGTTATATTAATTTAAAGATCTGTATACCTTTTGGTTTTGATTCAAAATTTTATTTTAGAGATATTGAGTTTTTTGTAAAAAAAAAAGGGGGTTTTCGCATGTCACGCCGTATGTCAGAAACTATTTATGGTTATTGCATAAAAATTCACACACAAGACGACGGGCGTATCATGGGCTCATGGCGCAGCTGTTTATTAGTATTCAACCCAACCTCATTTCAGTATACTGTAAATTCAAAAATAAGTTGGAGGTTTTTATTGTCGAGCCTTTTACTTTAGTCGAAAAAGCGAGACATAGCGATCCTACATTCCGTCGGCGGCGTCCACAAATATTCACTCTGTGGTTAAAGTTTTTGAAATTTTAATAACTTTCTTAAACTATCCTGGATTTCTACCAAACTTGGACAGAAGCTTGTTTATGATCATAAGATAGTATCCAGAAGTAAATTTTGTAAAAATAAAATTCCATTTTTTCTGTATTTTACTTATAAATGGACTTAGATTTTCTGTCAGGAAACAACACATTCACTCTGTGGTTAAAGTTTTAAAAATTTTAATAACTTTCTTATACTATTTTGGATTTGTACCAAACTTGGACAGAAGCTTGTTTATGATCAAAAGCTAGTATCTAGAAGGAAATTTTGTAAAAAAATAAATCCATTTTTTCTGTATTTTACTTTTAAATGGACTTGGATTTTCTGCCAGGAAACAACACATTCACTCTGTGGTTCAAGTTTTTAAAATTTTAATAACTTTCTCATACTATTTTGGATTTGTACCAAACTTGGACAGAAGCTTGTTTATGATCAAATGCTAGTATCTAGAAGGAAATTTTGTTTTCTTCCAGTTAACATTACATTCAGTCTGCAGTTAAAGTTTTTAAACATTTATTAGATTCATAAACTATCCTGGATTTTTACCAAACTTGGACAGAAGCTTCTTACAATCAAAAGATAGTATCAAGTGGAATATTTTTATTGATTTACTTCCTCCATTTTGTTGAGCCTGCGATTAACAGAAAAAGTAGGCGAGACACTGGGTTCCGCGGAACCCTTACAAATTTTATTAATGCAATAATGAGACTTGGTGATTATAGCAATAATAAGAACTGGCATTCTGATATCTAATACATATATTATCTGCATGCAGATTTTCCTGAAATCACAATAATTAATCTCACATTTTTGTCCATTCTTAAAAAATTGCAAAAATAAATGCATGCAATAATTTCTGAATGTACAGTAGATCACAAGAAATAAAAATTGTAACTTCCCAAGTCTGGAATCTACTCAGTGATTGTCATTTTCTGTAATTGCATTTTAATAGAATTGATATATATTCAGCTATCTTATTTAAATTCATGAATAATTTACAAGATTTAGCATTTATACAGTTTGGGTACTTATAAATCCTATGACTAAATTAGGAGTCTTTAAAAGAAATCTGCTTGCAAATAAAAGGTGCTAATTAGGCAATAGCAAACTAAATATAAATTGTCTGGTAAAAGTACTTTTTTACAATCACTCCTTATTTGAAACTACAGTACATTTGTATTTGAAAAAGGTTGATGAAGATAACACTATAAATTCCGTGCGTCCAAAGAGCGGTTCTGTTTTTATCTACATCAGGTATGCTTAAGCCCTAAGCATTTGATTTGAAAGCCAAGGATGTAAAAATATGCAGTCATGCTAGGGGCTATATGACCAAACAGGGCCTAAAAAGAATAACACAAATTTCTGAGGTAATCGTTTTCTGAGGGACTTACAACCTTAGATTCTAATAATTTCTTAATGGAATTTAATATTAATATCATACATTTTAAACTAACTGAAGCATGCACAATTGGATTGGTGCCTCATAAGTGTAATGCATGGGTGCACAAATATCATTGGTCATACATACGGTACTCTTTATCAACATAATAAACAACATTAACACTTGAACAATACAAAAACTCTATGTCACTGAAGCATTATGAAAATGATAGAGCCTCATGTTCTCCTTGAAACTGAAGTGCACAGATGCAGCATTACAACAGCACACCACATCAATGGTATTTCTTATATACTACTTTATGAATGCATCTTATCTAAAAACTACATTTGAACACTGTAAAAAGTCTGGGTTCATAGTCTTCCTGAAACTGAAGTGCAATTATGTTGAGATAATGAATGAATGGTATATCATAAAAATTTTCCAAACACACCTACCCAGAAAACTTATTGTATGCTCTTGTGTATACATTTTGTTACTCTACCAATTCAGATTTAAAAAGGGGAGTTGAGATTTTAACAAGAGTGCACACACTTAAATGTCTCGCCTGCTTTACTGATCATTGATTTTATGTTGATAGTCTTAAAGATAAAGGTTTTACTACAAGTATCACATAAACTTAACATTTTTAAAGATCCATGACAATGAGATCAAGCTTAAGGTCAGATAAATCCTTTCAGACAGATGTGTACACAATTATTCCATACATCAAATATAGTTGACCTGTTGCTTATGGTAATTGAAAAACAGACCAAAACACAAAAACTTAGCATTGACCAATGAACCATGAAAATTAGGTCAAGGTCAGATGATACCTGCTTACAATCATTTCATAAACTTAATATAAGCTGACCAATTGCTATTAGTATTTGAAAAACAGACCAAAACTCAAAAACTTAAAATTTACCAATGAACCATGAAATGAGGTCAAGGTCAGATGAAACATGCCAGACTGACATGCACCACTTACAAACATAGTTGACCCACTGCTTATAGTATCTGAGAAATGACTTAATCATGCAACTATAACCTTGATCACTGATCCATGAAATGAGGTCTAGGTCAAGTGAATCCTGTCTGGCAGACATATAGATGTTGCAAGGAATCCATATATCATATACATGTATAGTTATCTATTACTCATAATAAGTGAGAAATTCACATGACAAAAACACTATGATTTTTTTCAAGCAGTCTCTGAACCATGAAAATGAGGTCAAGGACAATGGACATATGACAGACAGAAACTTGGTAACATAAGGTATCTGCAGACAAGGTATGAACATGTGATGAAGCATCCAGGTCTTCTACCTTCTGAAATATAAAGCTTTATACAAATAGTTTCACTGCCGCTGGATAGTAATCTGTAATTTATTGTTGAACTTGCCACATTTTTGTTTGCCTGTCCCAAGTTAGGAACCTCATCAGTAGTTAGTTACAACTTTATGTTATTTGGAGAGTTGGGTTTTAATTGCAGATCTATAGGTGTTTGTATCTGTTCAATTTATTCACAACTTTTATAAACTCGGACGATTTAGAACTTGACATATTGTGTAGACATCTGTCTCTTGTTGAACCTCTTAGATATGTAATTTTTGTTTTTGAGTTGCTGTCCCATTAACTTCATCTTCTTTATATTATCTAAACATTATTTTTTATTTTTTTCATCACTGTATATATCACTGAAGCAGACCTAGGGGAATGGACTCATTTTCTGCACTCTGTTGAGATGCATGGATGCTTATGCAACTGTTTACCAGTTATCATTGATGTATCATAAGACTTTATTCTGACACTGGTGTTGACCATGACAATGATGCTGTTATTAGTAAACATCAACTATGACAATCCACATAGGAGAGACAAACATTTCAAAGTTCCATCTACTGTTTAGATAATTCATTAATTTGAAGATTCGATCATCTGAACAGGGGTTTTAAAATTAAAAACAACCAAACAAATGAAAGTACCTTAAGTGAACAAGCTTGTATATCCTACGCCCCGAAAATTCCTTACTACAACTTTATTTTATCTCTGGTGGATAGTTGTCTCATTAGCTATCATACCACATCTCCTCATTTTATCAACATTTAACTCCTATAGGTTCTCAGACCAGACATGATTTGTGATGAATGGCCAGACCAATACTTGCATTACTTTAAGTTCAATCTAGACATACATCTACACGTCCAACCCCCGAAAAAATCCATATGATTTTTACTGAATGATACATGTAGTACAGAATAATGTGTCAAGGGAGGGTGACATGTCTTTCTTGCAGGCAGTTACCTTGTGAACTAATACATTAAAGGTCTTAGTTCAAAGCAGGTTTAATATTCATATCACATCAGCATGTTCTTGTCCTGAATACCGGTATGCATTTAATTTGCCACTGGACAATAAACAGCCATCCATCCATCTAGATAGGCAAATAGGGAGGTTTGTACACACATAAAACTGTTTTACCAATATGTGCCTGCCAAGTCATGGCTATCTGGACCAAGTGTTGTTCTTTATCATTTAAAAGACCCTGTTTATACATCATTTTTTTTAAGTTTCAGTGTTTGTGGTGTATCAACCAATATTTTTGGTAAATCCTGTTTTATATTTTAATAAATCATGTTGAGATTTAATTTTCTTTGGCTAACTTGAGTAATACAATTTTACTAATGGATACACCTAAAGTTAAAATTTCCCAAAAAATACAACTAAATATTATTTTATATACATATGCACATTAATGGCTTTACAATCTGTTGATATTGCACATGGTCATCTTTGACTATTATTGACGTCTTTACACCAAATCCATTAAATGTTGGATGTGTACTGATTGATATTTTAGTCTAAGATGCATAATTTTTTTATAATTTGTTATTGAATTTGAACAGGCTGTCAGTAATTGTGAGTACTCTCTGATACCCTGCCACGTCAGGTCTGTGTCTTTGTGTGACGTTTTTCTGCTTTGTATCAATCTGATGAGTTAACATTTCTCGTTTGAATTGTTTTACATCTGTCATTTCAGGGCCTTTTATAGCAGACTATGCGGTATGCGATTTGCTCATTGTTGAAGGCAGTGACCTTTAGTTGTAAACTTCTATGTCATTTGGTCTCTGGTAGAGAGTTGTCTCATTGGCGATCATACCACATCTACTTATTTTTATATTGTTGAATGTTTGCTGTCATCATAATGTCCTGTTTGTAGTATTTTATTTTTCACCAAAACATATACAAGTGTTTTCTACTTTTTTTCTTGCAAATTGTCTGTTCAATTTGGATTTTACATTGAGGTAATTCAACATTTGCTCCATATGAAAGTCAATAAAGCTTGGATGAAACAGCTTAGCAATTTTGATGTCAAAACCTACATTTTTTTTTAACCTATTTGCCCCCCAATCCAACCTCTAGCCCTGATTCGAACAGCCGTTCTTTTCTAGCCTATATGTCCTTCCACTTTTTCAGAACTGCCACAGCTGAACTGTGTTGACAGCAAAGACTTCAATCTTGCAATTAATGGTCCATAAACTCTTTCCAGATGTGTTATGAAAATATGACAACCTTAATGATGTCTTCAGATAGAAATTGGAAAACTGTAAAAAGTATGGTAGCCTAAAATCAGGTAGGAGTGGGGAGTCATTTAGTGGCCACTACTTTAATGTCATAGTCCCTAGGTATTTACTGTTGTCCAAAATTCATTTATAGGTAGTTCAGAAACAAAAGGAGGTATCATATAGCAAGAAAAATTCTGGTCTGTAAAAACAAGGTCAGTTTTGTCAGAAAAATGTAAAAGTTTTGATAGACCTGGCTTGCCATTAATAATTCTCAAGCAAGACAATAAAGTAAAATTTACTTCCAGTCAGCATGGATGGGTTGCTGTAACTGAAAGGTAATAATTAAATGACAAAGAATAACAGATTTGTCGATGTTCACCTCTCAGATTTCAATTTTCATTTTTTGACAAAGCAAACAACATGTTTTGTATATTATACATTTTATTAACAGAAGAAAACAATTTGGTAATGTCTACCACATCTAAAATGACAGAATTCAAACAAAAAATATGTTGTTACAAATAAGGATATCTTAACAATCATGTAAAAATTGCTTGACAATATGAAAACATTATATAACAATGAATTACATTTTTTTCATAACTTCAGTTTAAACTTCAGTTCAGATAAATGCATTACTATGACAAATAATAATGTTGCATTGGAAATATATGATAAATTATTTATGACACATCTTTTTTGTATACAAGCGCTTATATTATTACCTAACGACTGATATGGATTCTTGGAATGATATCAGAACTGATTTGAAAAATGACATATGATCATTCATACATTTTTTACAAAAATATGTGAGACTAAAATTACAGAAATTATTTTAAATATCCGTTCAAGAAATTACTACTTTTGTATTCAGATACTTGAAAACTGGTTGTAATTTTAATCCAAATGTAAAAGTATCTTCTTGCCATTCATTATCAATTGTGTTATATAATATTGTACAAAGGCAATTCAGTTAAAAAATCACTCATAAAAGTAATTTGTCATTGTAAATGCAGGTGTGTGTAGATGCTTCATTTCAAAATCTGATTGTTTATTCAAACCATGTAGTGAGACAGAAGACAGGGTCAACAATGAGGTTGTAAATCAGAGTATAATCACTATCATCACCTGGATTCACCAGCAATCACATTGTGTCATGATGTTTCAGTTAAAACCTTATCCACATAAGGGGTTTTCTTTGAATCAACTTGTGCACACTGTATACAGAAATATATGTCAACTCCAGAACTTACTCATTTACTGATCAATATAAAAACTTCTATTTGTTGCACTCATTGATATATTTATAAGATTATTATACACTGTATATTGCATAAATAATATAGAGCAGAAAACAACAAAGTGAAAGAACTTTTATATTGCACATCTTGTTTTGATTTTTTTTCACTTAAAAGAATACAAATCTGCCTACATAAAAAGTTTTGAAGACAAAGAAAGAGGTATGATAAGAGCCATTATTTGGGCCCTTAAATAATTAAACATAGTAATATTCTTAAATGTGTATTTTATTGAACTAATTTATTTAACCTAAAATGGCAACTTCCAATTTGATTAAAATCAGATGTTGTGATACGCTTCGCTTCTTCTAATGTGGAGAGTATCGTAGCATAAACTAACAGCTGATTTTAATGAGAATGGGCCACTTCCCACATAGTTTATAAAAAAATAAGTGGGGAATGTGTCCATGGGACACAGATGATGCCCCCGCTTGCAAATAATTTTAAAAAGGGACATAACTCAAGAACTGTACAAGTGACGCTACCCAAATTTGTACTTGATGTGAGTTTTGTGGTAATAAGCATTGTGTATACGTTTCAAAACATTTTAGTTGAGGCAAACTTAAGTTAGAGAACGGAAACAAAAAATTCAGCAATTTTTCCATTTGTAAAGGGGCATAACTCTAAAACGGTAAAAGTGACGCCACTAAAATTCAAACTTGATCTGTGTTTTGTGGTAATTAGCATTGCATAAGTTTCATAACATTTAGTTGAGGCAAACTAAAGTAGAGAACAAAAAAAATAAAAATTAAGCAATTTTTGTATTTGTAAAGGGGCATAACTCTAGAATGGTAAAAGTGACGCCACCAAAATTCAAACTTGATCTGTGTTTTGTGGTACATGTAATAGGCATAAAAATCTCAGCCACAGCATTTCCCTAAAAAGAGATTTCCTAATATGTTTATTATCTAAATATTAATTAAAAATTTTAAAGCCCAAACAAAAAAGTAAGACTAAATTCAAAATAGAAATATTGATATTGAACAAACTAAAAAACTACTTTTGTGAACATATATGCATCTTAATGAGATTATTTCATATATTCATTTTTTATTTAAAATATTCAATAGGCCAAACAAGTGGGCTTATCATACTGTATGATTTCTGCATAGAAGGGAAATAACTCAATCTAACACTTATAACCTATTACATGTATTACTATTGACAACTTGAAAATAATAAATGAGGCAACTATACAAACACCATGTTTTAAAAGGTAAAACTATTACAATTCAAAACTCACAAAAATATTTATTTTATGTTTATTCAAATCCATTTTGAACATTAACTTAGCCATGACAAGTAAAAACTATTTTGTAATTGGTCATAAAGTCCTCATTTAGTACAGACATTTTATTATCAGATTATTTTTAAACCTTGATAAAGACCTTTAACATAGATGTATTGGGCCACCATTTTCTGTCTTTTATACCATATTTGGTTTTATAAGTTTGAGTTATACCTTTTAATTTTGGTGGTTGAACCATCGACTTGTATATTAGTTTTGTTTTTTGTTACTAAATGTACAATCCCTTCAAGAATTCTGAATCATTTTGTTACTGACAACATTTAAAAAACATCATACATACAACAAAAAGCATATATATATGTTATTGAATTATTTAGCTCTAAATATAATCCATATGGATTCTGGAATTACACATATATATTTTATCAATTTTTTCCTTATATGGCTATTACAATAACATTGGTGAATACTGTCCCAAGTAGAATAATATATTGTAATTCAAACATGATTTGCATAATTACGAATCCTTTTTAGGGCTTTGACTTCTGATTTTTGTTCTAGGTTATTTTATGGTAGAATATGTTCATCAGAAAATTTTCGTATCCTATAAACACATTGAATCAGATGGAAATTTAACAAGTATCTTTCGAAAAAGAAAGCATGAGAAATGAGAAATGGAGAGTTATATTTTTAATGTTTTGCCAAGGGAATAAAAGTTGTTAAAAAGTGTTATGGAGCTTGTGAAGAAGTTAGAAAGGTGGAAGTAATATAATAACATTCATTAAACCCCTATATTGATCCCCACAGAGGTGAAACCCTGTTTCTAAGATTATACAAAAGTGGTCCATACTTTCACTCTTTTCCAATCATTGTTTACATTTCACACACTGACCACTAACTGTAACCCGGTTATTCAAACAATCACAATTCATACCTCATGAGATGACGCTGACAATCTGTTCATGTCTCCCATAGAGTTTAACTCTAAATTTACTTCCACTCTGAAGCATGCCCTTTCATTTCGTATCAAATATTCCTGTGAGAAAATTCTGACTTGTTTGTAAATAGCAACTGTATCACAGATGGTTTATACTTCAGTATCAATTCTAAAATCTACGATCTGGTCACGTCATAAGGAGGGTCTGGGTTTTAGAATCAATTTACCAGTCTGAAATAAAAAAAATAATTAATACATTAGTTGACTGATCCCAACAGATATATGAGCATTTGATTGCTTTATGGGAATCATGCTAAGAATACTACTGTGGATTCATTAATATTCGTTGGATACCAGTTTTCGTGGATTTAGTGGGTAAAGGTAAACCAGGAAATTAAATGTTCAACGAAGTACAAATTTTCAATAGGCTTGTATGCAGACTTCGGCAAAACCGTGAAATTAAATATCCACGAACATACAAGTTTTCCTGTATCCACGAAAATTGGTACCCACAAAAATAAATGAATCCACAGTATTTGCAATAACATTGGAAATTAAATTCATTTCAAGTATACATGAAAGGTGCCACTAGTATAAAACAAGAACTGCTTACCCTGCCCAAGACTTCACCCTGAGTTTTAGGTTTCCTGTTCAATATTTAGTTTTTTGAGACTGATGTATCTTTTCATCTTTTTTCTACTGACCATGGTGTTATAAGTCTTTCTACAACTTACAATTTTTTGTGTTCCCATGGTATCTTCTTCCTTTTTTATGTAATTAAGAAAATACATGAATAATTTGAATGACTTATAGGAAAAATACATAAATTTTCTCAAAATGTAAACTGCACAATTATCATGATTAAGGTGGATATGAATTAGGTCCTAAATACTATGACTATATGTGTGTCTATAATGTAGGAATGCTTATTGGCAATGACAATTAAAGACATTTAGTGACTGGACATCTGTCCTGTTAATGATGATGAATGGCTGTTTTACGTCCAGTGTCAAGTCTTTGGTGTGACTTGGTTTGGGATAGAACTCATGACCTTCTACACTCGAAGTGAGCATGATACCATGAGATCACAGAGGTGAGAGTTGTCTGATGAAGATCAGCAATAAAAGTGATGTTCCTACAATATATAGGCTATTTCTATTATTTTCTGGGACTTTTTAATATAGGCATGCATATCCTCTCTTTTCAAACCATCATTTAATGTCTTTTTTTTATAAAATACTTACTTCATCACAAGACATATTATAATCTGCCAAAACCTGTCTACATCTGGTTGCTATACTAGTAAGTGTTAAGGTTATCTAATATTTGACAAGTGCTTATGCATTTATCATTTTTGTCGAGCTTCGACTTTAGTCGAAAAAGCGAGACATAGCGATCCTACATTCCATCGGCGGCGGCGTCCACAAATATTCACTCTGTGGTTAAAGTTTTTGAAATTTTAATAACTTTCTTAAACTATCCTGGATTTCTACCAAACTTGGACAGAAGCTTGTTTATGATCATAAGATAGTATCCAGAGGTAAATTTTGTAAAAATAAAATTCCATTTTTTCTGTATTTAACTTTCAAATGGACTTAGATTTTCTGTCAGGAAACAACACATTCACTCTGTGGTTAAAGTTTTAAAAATTTTGATAACTTTCTTAAACTATCCTGGGTTTCTACCAAACTTGGACAGAAGCTTGTTTATGATTATAAGATAGTATCCAGAAGTAAATTTTGTAAAAAAAAAAACCATTTTTTCCTTATTTTACTTTTAAATGGACATAGATTTTCTGTCAGGAAACCATACATTCACTCTGTGGTTAAAGTTTTTAAAATTTTAATAACTTTCTTATACTATTTTGGATTTGTACCAAACTTGGACAGAAGCTTGTTTATGATCAAAAGCTAGTATCTAGAAGGAAATTTTGTAAAAAAATAAATCCATTTTTTCCTTATTTTACTTTTAAATGGACTAAGATTTTCTGCTAGGAAACAACACATTCACTCTGTGGTTAAAGTTTTTAAAATTTTAATAACTTTCTTATACTATTTTGGATTTGTACCAAACTTGGACAGAAGCTTGTTTATAATTAAATGCTAGTATCTAGAAGGAAATTTTGTTTTCTTCCAGTTAACATTACATTCAGTCTGCAGTTAAAGATTTTAAACATTTATTAGATTCATAAACTATCCTGGATTTTTACCAAACTTGGACAGAAGCTTCTTACAATCAAAAGATAGTATCAAGAGGAATATTTTTATTGATTTACTTCCTCATTTTTGTTGAGCCTGCGATTAACAGAAAAAGTAGGCGAGACACTGGGTTCCGCGGAACCCTTACAATTTTTTTTCATGTAATGGAGTTTATTTTTAGAAGTCATAGAAAACCATATGATCATAGTATACTGTTAATCTTTCACTTGTGTGGACTTCAATATACAGTCTCTCCTGAAACTTTGTGGTTGATAGTTATTTTAAAATTCATGTTCAATCAACATAATTTTGAAGAGTAAGCTGCACTTTTTTATTTGCCATATAGGACACAGAGTTTTGTAATGATCCAAACTTGTAGAAATAAAAATACTGGGTGTGTAAATAATGAATTGATGGCTTGTGAACAATTACTGTCAGTACACAGTATATAAATCAAGACATAGGTGATATTTAGAAAAAAAACAACTCTAAATTTTGAACTGGAATGGCATTTTGTAGACTTCCACAACTGTTTCCCTATAATCTTGGAACTCAGGTTATCAATGTATACCATGAGGCCAAATATTACACTGTAGCATTTTCAGAAACTATTCAGTTATTCAGCAAGAAAGTCCTGTTAAAATTTTTTTTTATCATCATGACCACAGGTTTAAACAATTCTGATAAGACTTACAGCCCAACCAAATTGAAAAAACAGAAATATCAGACTAAAAAATTTTAACAATAATGTTTCATTTTAAAGATGAGTTAGTATTATCCTACAAGTATCTTTTTAATATTTGACAAGTAAAGTGACAAAATATCATTAATCAAACAGATTATAAATTCATTTATCTTAAACACTTCTCTAGGTCACCTACTCGGATACTTATAAAACACTTACCTTGACCACTTGACAACAAAGATCAAAAGTTTTAAGATCATTATGTATACCGGTAATAAAGGATACATTGATGGTGCAACAACCCTTTTATGAATTCCACACAAAAATAACATTAACAGCACTATACAACTAATGGTAAAACAGGGATGATTCCATAATGATGTTGACAAATATACCTGAAAAGAAAAAAAATATACATGTATATTATCAAGATGACACATAATTTAATGATTCCATTTATGAATCTTACTCAGGAAATATGTGAAAAGAGGTTCATCAATAATTTGGGATTCAAAATCTAATGTATTCAAGGTAATATTTTCAAAAGTGTGCACTAAAACGTTGTGATTGGCTAACAATGTCCTGAACAATGAAAATTCTGCCAAAGATTCTGAAATACAGAATTACTGGTTCCTTATATCTCAAATTCAACAGGCCATTTTGCCAAGTGGACTAATTTCAAATTGCAAATTCTTCCCTCTTAAATTATGTTGTATAGACTCTATGTCCTCGTAAACTATGTCTAGACCATCAAACAGTGACATTCCCATAATGGAATATTTCTAATCGGTCCTGCACCTGGATTTTTAACAAGTACAAGATACATTTTTAGTGGTGAAGGAAGCCTGCATGCCCTGACCTTCAACAGGAAAACTGACAATCCTTGTCCATTAAGATTGGAGTGTAACGCACCTGCCATCATGCAGGGTTCAAACTCACAATCTCAATGTTGATAGGCTTATGATACAGCAGTTGAACTACTTTGACCACTCGGCCACAAAAGCCCCACAAATAACAAGAGTAAAACAGTTGTCAGTCATATCAAAACTCTTTTACAAGCATAACTTATAAAATACTTTGATTTACTGCCATTTGTTAGTAAAGATGAAATACTGATTCATTGATAAATTATCCTCAACTTCATTTAAATATTTCTGTTCTCTTAAAGTCATATGAAAAGAGTTTCTCGTAACTTCAATGTTATCGAAATTTTTGACCCATGCACGTATATATATATATATATATATATATATACTAAACTTAGTCCTGTATGCACTTTTTTTTACATACTGTGGATTCATTTTTATTCGTGGTATACCAATTTTCGTGGGTTTCGTGGGTCACAGCGAACCACGAATTTAAGAATTCAACGAAGAATAATCCCGAGAAATGTGTATGGAGTCGGATGTTTATTTCCAGTTATGTTATGCAGTTCTAGTATAGTGTTGACTAACGATAAACATTGTAACATAACACGTGTTTTTCTTGAAAGAAGATACAAGTATTTTGATTAAATCAATAATAAATATATCGAATATCAGTGACAATTTACTTTTTAAAATTGATTTAAACTGTTCATGGAAAATAAATGCAAGTTGTTAATTACCGTGTCATAGTTTGGTTTACTGGTGATTAAAAATCAATAGGATTAACGGTGCGGGGATATTGCCCGTAGGTAATATTATTTATGACAGGAACATTTATTTTCACACCTTTTACTTATACTTATATATTATATCGTGATTAGGGAAATGAGCTTTCGATCATAGAGTTTTAAATGCCTTATAAAATTCCGACAAGAATTTATAAATTGTAAAACAAACAAATAATTAGTTGTCTCTGTCCATTATTGTAATAGAAGTTTTCAATGAACACTTTAAGCTAGAATGACCAAGCGAGGATTTTGACAATTCAAAACCTTTTCAATGAATTCTTTCTTTTTTGTTTGTTTTATTATTGATCAAACCAAGGAGGGTATATGATCTCCTAAATTAAAAAGAAATCGACGAATTACGTATCGGATTTTTTTTTTTTTTTTTTGCTATCAGCGATCCACGAATTTACGTATACCACGAAACGTCTTTTTTTCTCTATCCACGAAAATTGATACCCACGAAAATAAATGAATCCACAGTATATTACAAATCTATAACCTATTATTGACAAATAATTTTTCATTCAGTGATTGTTGATGGCAAGATAGTTAACTTTCGAGTTTGTTGCCGTAGTTTACTGGATCGTGACATTGATAAACAATCAATACGGAGCACCTGGAGCACCTGAACAATAAATGAATTGATAGAGCCATGATATATTTTTTATACTTTCCATGCATTCCAATTTGTTAATCAAACTTTTCCTTAACAGTTGTTAAATGTTTAAGTGTATTTAATTTGTGTTTTAAGAATCAGTTTTTACTATTCACCTTCCAGTGCATGTTTGTTTACATTCTTTCATCACAGTTTTCGTCTCACACTTGTGCTGTGTGGTGGCTGAAGTTCTAACAAGAGGTTTCATAGTTAAGGACACTGCATACAGGACTATATCCGTGAATCAGTGTAAGGGAAGACAGTAATTCAATAGCAGTACATTTATGAAGATTTTGATAATATAAAGAATTATCTTTTACAAGAAAGTTCATGTACACTTGTTTTATAGTAAAACTTATCCTTTCAAGTTTTTAAAACATATTTAACTTTTTTTTAAATGTGAAATTTCATGACTTTAATAGAAAGATGCATGAAAAAATCCTGGGGAATTATGCAATTTTAAGTCAATAAAGTTATCTCTTTCCAGAAATCATTCTTAGACTTTTACAAAAACAGGAGCAAAATTTCATGTACTTCATGCTGTAAAACCTATGATACAGTCTCTTGTATGAAGTTGGACTGTTTGAAAAAAATGAACCAGAATTTAAAGTCCTCCAAAAATGACTGAAATCGTGTGAAAAAAATCTAAAATTTCTCGTTCATCCATATATTGTCTTGTTCAAATCTGCAGGATTTCCTCTTGGAATTCCTGTTTTAATGCAGTTTGATCAATATCTTTTTCTTTTGTTAAATCTGTCCTATTTTGACAGTAACATTTGGATTGCTATACATATGTTATTTGTATAAATGTTCAAACTTGTTTTATACCTACTTTAGTTGTATACGGATCAAGAAGCCAGGTGCCAGCACCTGCAGCTGTGCAAACTGATATCACAATCAATACCACTGAAAAGAACAGGATTAGATCAAAATTAATAGAATAATGATTAATTTCATCATCTACCATCCTATCATTTGAAATACTTGAATTACGATCAAATTAAAAAAATACCTAAATTTTTTTTTTAAATGCATGCAACTGCTTTAAACTAAACAAATAGCTTCTCCAAGCGCAGCTGAATACGACCGCAGAGGTCCAACCCTGAACAGTTGGGGCAAAAATGGACACAATATTCGCGCTTGATACAGGTCTGAATTTGGATTGTAATTAAATATTTGACACATAATAGGTTTCTGACAGAGAATAACTGTAGTTAAAGAACTTAGAATTGGTTACATGATTTGAATTTATATTCAATTTTTTGCTTTTGTGCATTACACTTTGCTGTTGCGAATTGACTCCCCCTCCCCCACAAAAAAAAAATTACCCCCCTTTTTTGGGGCTTTTGTGCAATACACTATGCTGTTGCGTATTGACCTCCCCTTTTTTTTTGCCAAAAAAAAACTATTTGAAGAATTTGTCTTTTTAATTTCTGAAATCTGAAATGAGAAAAAATTTTTTTTTTTTTTTTCTCACCTCCTCCCACCCCTTTTCCCCCCCAAAAAATTCTTTCCCTCAAGATATGGTCATAATCTCAATTCAAATTTCCAATGGAGTTTGCAACCATAATTACCCATTTAAATACATCATAAAAGTCTTAAAATAGAAAATGACATACATAATCATGGATAAAATTAATATTCCTTTATAGTAACTTCTAATAAATTGCTTTGCTGAGCGCAGCTGGATACGACTGCAGAGGTCCAAACCCTGAAAAGTTGGGGCCGAAATGGACACAATATTCACCTTCCCCTTTCCCTTATTCCAAAAAAAATCATTCCCTCAAGATATAGTCATAATCTCAATTCAAATTTAAAAAAAATTTGCAACCATAATTACCCTTTTAAATACATCATACAAGTCTTAAAATACAAAATGACATACATAGTCATGGCTAAAATTAAAATTAATTAATAGTAACTTTTAAAAATAAATTGACAGCTAATCACCTCAAGACAATCATCATTTCTTAATACATAATTTACAAGCAGTGTAAGGGAGGTAATCAAACATTGTTGTTTTAAATTGGGATTGGATTACCTCCCTTAGACTGCTTTAAATTGTCTTAATTGTCCTTTAACCAGGAAAAAAAACTTGTTTTCCCCCTTTTTTGCCTCTAATTCCTTAATGGTTTGAGCCATAACCCCCCATAGTCAATCCTAACCATCCCTTTGTTGTATGGAAACTTGTGGTATAATTTTAGAGAGATTCACACTCTTAAACACAAGTTATTGTCTGGAAACTACAAAAATGCTTATTTGGGTCCCTTTTTAGGCCCCTTATTCCTAAACAGTTGGGACCATAACCCCCAAAATCAATCCGAACCTCCTTTAGTGGTTATAAACCTTGTGTTAAAATTTCATTGATTTCTATTTAATTATACTAAAGTTATTATCCAGAAAGCATCTGTCTTCAGAAGATGCTGATGAGGACGACAACGTGATACCAATATAAAACAAAATTTTTTTTTAATTTTTGCGGTCGTATAAAAATAAATTGACAGCTAATCATCTCAAGACAATACAACATTTCTTTATACCTAATTTAAAAGCAGTGTAAGGGAGGTAATCAAAACGTTGTGTTTGGATTACCTCTCTTACACTGCTTTTAAATTTTCTTAAGTAATTGTCCATTAACCAGGAAACCCTTGTTTTCCCCCTTTTTTGCCCCTAATTCCTAAACGGTTTGTGGTATGGAAACTTGTGGTATAATTTCAGAGAGATCCATACACCGTTCCACAAATTATTGTCTGGAAACTAGAAAAATGCTTATTTGGACCCCTAATGCCTAAACTGTTAGGACCATAACCCCCAAAATCAATCCCAACCTTCCTTTTCTGGTTATAAACCTTGTATTTAAATTTCATAGATTTCTATTTAATTATACTTAAGTTATTGTCCGGAAACCAACTGTCTTCGGACGACACTGACGACGACGACGTGATACCAATATACGAACCGCAAAATTTTTTCGGTCGTATAAAAACTTGCTTTGACTTAATTTATCTTACCACAAGGTGGTTTGGGTTTGTCTTGTATAGTTCTTGCGTGGAGGTCTTCTATTCAAATGATCCAAAACCATATAGGGTCACAATCTAGTTTCCCCATTCTCTTCCCTAACCTTTATCCTATTTGAACCCTAACTCTTTTTAAGTCCTAACTTATCTGGACCCATTGTGCTCTAGAAATTACAGTTGCCTAGAACAATTGAAAATTTGCCCACAGAAAGTGAATATCCAATTCAAAGTGGATTTGATTCTAATTCTAAATGCCAGTTATAAATCATTCAGTGGGGAAAAAAGCATTTATCTGAGATAGTAAAATTATATTGTATAATTTCCTATGGAAATAGAAACAAGGGGTGGTAATAGGAAAACTTGGTCTCTAATATTGAATATGGCAAAAACTTAAACCTCAATATTGAATATCATATAGCTGATACCCCTTAACTAAAGCATCATAGTTGAAAAAAAATATTGAAATAATAAATTGGCAGATTTATTTTAATAATATTCAAGTTCAAGATCTAATAAAAATGACAACTCACTTCGCCATAACCTAGCTGTTGGCTGAACCTTGTCGATTACTTCTGTTAATCTTCTTTCAAAGGCCTTCAAGTCTGAAATAACATTAAAAAGAGTCATGTTAAAAAATATCAATCTAAAATAAACATCATGTCACAAATGTTTGAAAAATACATGAGGGTATGGATGTGGTATTACGGAATAAAGAAAATATTGGGCAAAAAACAGAATGATGGGCCCAAAAGTAAAGAATAGAGAAAAATGCACCAATTCAAAGAAATACAGAATTGACAATAATAGGGTGTCAAAATATACAAAAAAGAGAAAAAATGGGCAAAACAATTGAAGAAAAGAGAAAACAGGTATTAAAATGAATGAATAAATAAATGAACACGTCCCCATCCAGACCCTTTTACAAGTACACTTCAGCTTATGTGAATTTTGCATTTTAAACCTCCCAAAAGTGGATAGCCTAACCATGTGATTGTCCCTATTCAAGTTAAACATCTTGTATCAACTGATATGAATTGAATACAAATTGAACTCTCTAGGCACTCCTGCTTCCTTCACCAATAAAAACTGGTCCCCATGATATAACCAAGAGTACTGAAAGTAGTAAACATGTATTAAACACCAAATATCAAATTGAATTCTTTTTGTGTTGATATCATTAAATTGTACTTTTAAATCTTACTATCATGACTATTGTAAACAATTGAAAAATTATGTCCATTTCACACGGTGGAAAGGATGGTTAAGCTAGAACTCCTAGTGTCCAATACCACTATGGATAAGTAAAAAACAAAATGCAGCTGATATGTATAGCATGTATAGTAAAGTTGTAGAGTAGACCGCCTATATCAGCAGAATAATGATGGTCTCTTAGAGCAAATTTTTTTAGCATTATTACGTTAAGAAATGGTGATTTGAATTAGAAATGTCTTTTTAACTTAAACATAAAATTATCATGTCATGTAACTATGTTTTATTACACTTAATAAAAGAGGATCTTGACTTAATAAGTTGGAAAATTTCAACTTTAAAAAATGGCAAAGCCAAATGATTATAATTGAAAATCTCGCAAGAACTCTCACCACGCAAGCATATTATTTCGATGGATATTATTAAAGTTTCCATGTGATGTAATTTCAGTTTGAGTTATTTCCCTTGGCTGTTATTTTGGAGGGGTAAATGGTTGATTTTCTTAATTTTCTTAATTGACTAACAAAGCTAATATATGCAGTACATACAAGTCTGATAAAAGATCCCTACTTGATTATAGAGATGAATAAAGCAAGGCTAAAATTAAATTAAAATTGTTCAAAACTTCTATAGTCTAGAGGTCAGCATAAAAAGTTGCATTTGGCTGATTTATGAAGGAATTTTTGCATGTTGACCTCCAACATGGCGACAAAAGGAAAGTAACTCTTTCTCAAAGGTGTCAGTCAACCAGTTGATTAAAACTTATCTACACAGTGTATATAATGAAAACTGACAAGAAAATTCCTTTTATTCTTAAGTATTAAAATCCTTGCTCGCAGTATGTGTAGTGGTACAGTCCCGCCAAGAAAATTTACGCTAATTCTGCGTAAAGAAATGAACAATCGTGACTGGAAAATTATGTGTTTACCTGTTATATGTACGTGAGTCCATTTTGATCACGACAAGCTCAAAACTTTAATAGTGGACCTTCATGGACATCGTGATCAATAATAATATGTATTGTGAAAAGCGCAGGACTTTCTTTAGTCGATTAACTTTGTGTTTTATTGAATGTTATTGGTACGATGAATATTTGTTGCTGTAACTATTTAACGAGTAAATAATATATTGGTCAGAATATTTGTTGTGCGAAAGGTTATACATATTTATTGATATATGTAAAATTCTAGAGGTTACGACAAAACCTACAGTATACACAGGTTTTTGGTTAATAAATAATTATTCAAGCTCAGGTAAAGTCTGATTGATAGGGGGCAGTCTTTCATTTGCATACTGTGTAAACGTGATACATACCATGTGAATATCAATTAGCAAATACACAAGTGTAAACCAATGAACAGATGAATCCGGTCATAATAGGCTTCTGAAGGAGGAGCTACATATATGACTGATTGTATTTGATTACTCTATTTTGCGTACAATCTTTCATTAACAATTTTGATTTGATTCATAAAATCATCAATGCTACTTGTAATTAATTATGAAAGAAAAATATTTCAACTGATAGTTTTTATAAATATCAGAGCTTTTATAAATATCAGAGACTATAGTAGTCTCAGTAAATATCCAGAATTTTTAAAACTCTACCTTTTTCCCAAAATATTTACTTTTATCATTAACGGAAATTTACTTTTATTAATTATAAGGGCTTATGGAAAGGTTGAGAGAAGCTTGTGTGTTTTAAGTCTATTGCAAATTCTTGAGGGATGAGAAAATGATAAATAATACGGCTCATTCAGAATTCAATGTCGAGCTCAGGGCTTATACCGCACTCGATTATTGTTTGCTTAACATCCACAGACAAATGAATGAGTGCATATTTAAGAGAGCACACTATGAAAAAAAACAGAAGTGACTGACATCTGAGAATTTTGGGGTGAAATGTTTAACTTTTATTATATTATGGCATAGTTTTATTCCCCCCCGCAATAAAAAAATAAAATGCTCCGCAGGGCGCAGCTTGATACGACCGCAGAGGTCGAACCCTGAACAGTTGGGGCAAGTATGGACACAACATTCAAGCTTGTTACAGCTCTGAATTTGGATTGTGATTAAATATTTGACACAGCATAGGTTTCTGACACAGAATGAATGTGGTCTACAGTCTTCACGATGAACTTTAAAATCTACAGGCCCGGAGCTCAATTTTTGGAAAATTTTATTTAGATTCTGTTGGCCTGTAGATATGATATTACAGGCCCGAGAGCAATTTTACTAGCCTGGGCTGCTGGGCCTGTGGTTTTGCGTGAAGACTGGGTCTAAGAACTTAAAAATTTTAAATTGGAAATTCACCTATTATGGTCCAATATCCAAAATCTAAATACATGGTTAGATTCAGCATATCAAAGAACCCCAAGAATTCAATTTTTGATGAAATCAAACAAAGTTTAATTTTGGACCCTTTTGACCTCAATGTGGACAAAGTTGATAATGGGGCCATAATCAAAAATCTAAATACATGGTTAGATTCAGCATATCAAAGAACCCCATATATTCAATTTTTGTTGAAATCAAACAAAAAAGTTTAATTTTGGACCCCGATTTGGACCAACTTGAAAACTGAGCCCATAATCAAAAATCTAAATACATATTTAGATTCAGCATATCAAAGAACTCTAAGAATTCAATTTTTGTTAAAATCAAACTAAGTTTAATTTTGGACCCTTTGGACCTTAATGTAGACCAATTTGAAAACAGAACCAATAAAATGCTTCGCTAGGGCGCAGCTTGATACGACCGCAGAGGTCGAACCCTGAACAGTTGGGGCAAGTATGGACACAACATTCAAGCTTGATACAGCTCTGAATTTGGATTGTTATTAAATATTTGACACAGCATAGGTTTCTGACACAGAAAGAATGTGGTCTAAGAACTTGAATTTTTTTAATTTACCTATTATGGTCCAATGTCCAAAATCAAAATACATGGTTAGATTCAGCATATCAAAGAACCCCATATATTCAATTTTTGTTAAAATCAAACAAAGTTTAATTTTGGACCCCAACTTGGACAAACTTGAAAACTGGGCCCATAATCAAAAATCTAAACACATGTTTAGATTCAGCATATCAAAGAACCCCAAGAATTCAATTTTTGTTAAAATCAAACTAAGTTTCATTTTGGACCCTTTGGACCTCAATGAAGACCAATTTAAAAAACGGGACCCAAATTAAAAATCTAAAAACACGGTTAGATTTGGCATATCAAAGAACCCCAATAATTCAATTTTTGATGAAATCAAACAAAGTTTAATTTTGGACCCTTTTGACCTCAATATGAACCAATTTGATAACGGGGTCCACAAATAAAAAATCTAAATACATGGTTAGATTCAGCATATCAAAGAACCTCAAATATTCAATTTTTGTTGAAATCAAAAAAAGTTTAATTTTGGACCCCAATTTGGACCAACTTGAAAACTGGGCCCATAATCAAAAATCTAAATACATGTTTAGATTCAGCATATCAAAGAACCCCATATATTCAATTTTTGTTGAAATCAAACAAAGTTTAGATACTGGACCCTATCTTGGACCAACTTGAAAACTGGGCCCATAATCAAAAATCTAAACACATGTTTAGATTCAGCATATCAAAGAACCCCAAGAATTCAATTTTTGTTAAAATCAAACTTAGTTAAATTTTGGACCCTTTGGACCTTAATGTAGACCAATTTAAAAAACAGGACCCAAATTAAAAATCTAAATACACAGTTAGATTTGGCATATCAAAGAACCCCAATTATTCAATTTTAGATGAAATCAAACAAAGTTTAATTTTGGACCCTTTTGACCTCAATATGAACCAATTTGATAACGGGGTCCACAAATAAAAAATCTAAATACATGGTTAGATTCAGCATATCAAAGAACCCCACATATTCAATTTTTGTTGAAATCAAACAAAGTTTAATTTTGGACCCCAATTTGGACCAACTTGAAAACTGGGCCAAAAATCAAAATCTAAATACATGTTTAGATTCAGCATATCAAAGAACCTCATATATTCAATTTTTGCTAAAATCAAACAAAGTTTAATTTTGGACCCTTTGGACCTTAATGTAGACTAATTTGAAAACTGGACCCAAAATTAAAAATCTAAATACACTGTTAGATTCGGCATAACAAATAAATAAATGTGATCAAAGATTTTACAAATCTAATGCGCCATACTGTGCAATTAAAGATTACTTCTTGAAATTTTTCAATATTTGAAATTTGAAAAAAAAATAATATTTGAAGAATAATTCTTTTTAATTTCTGAAATCTGAAATAAGAAAAAATTGACCCCCCACAATTTCTTTTTATCCCCCCCCCCCCTTTTTTCCCCAAAAAAATTCTTTTCCTCAAGATATGGTCATAATCTCAATTCAAATTTCCAATGGAGTTGGCAACCATAATTACCCATTTAAATTTACCATAGTGCTAACTTAATCTATTTTATAATAGAATTAAAAATATAGTGTCAAATCTTTCATATGGATTTTTTTGTAAAAAAAAAAGATGCAACATTTGCAGATATTTTTACTGGTCTTCCTTTATAAATATGCATTTCTTTAAACATAATTTAAAAGCAGTGTAAGGGAAGTAACCAAAACGTTGTATTTGGATTACCTCCCTTACACTGTTTTAAATTATCTTTATTGTTCATTAACCATTACTTTATACATAATTTTAAAGCAGTGTAAGGGAGATAATTTCAATGATGAATTTGATTTATCTCCCTTACACTGCTTTAAATTATGTTTTGTACTAAAGTATTTGTCCATTAACCAGGACAACCTTGTTTTTCCCCCTTTTTTGCCCCTAATTCCTAAACGGTTTGAGCCATAACCCCCCAAAGCAAATCCTAACAATCCCTTTGTGGTATGGAAACTTGTAGTATAATTTCAGAGAGATCCATACACTGTTCCACAGTTATTGTCTGGAAACTAGAAAATGCTTATTTTTGGCCCCTAATTCCTTAACTGTTGGTACAATAACCCCCAAAATCAATCCCAACCTTCCTTTTGTGGTATTTAACCTTATGGTCAAATTTCAAAAAGATCCATTCACTTAAACTAAAGTTAGAGTGCGAAAACCAGTGTGTATTCGGACGACGACGCCGGACGACGACGACGACGCCGGACGACAACGACGACGACGACGACGCCAACGTCATACCAATATACGACCACAAAATTTTTTTGCGGTCGTATAAATATTAAGAATCTAAATACACGGTTAGATTCGGCATATCAAAGAACCCCAATAATTCAATTTTTGATGAAATCAAACAAAGTTTAATTTTGGACCCTTTGGACCTTAATGTAGACCAATTTAAAAACGGGGCCCAAAATCTAAAAACTTAATACACGGTTAGAATCAGCATATTAAAGAACCCCAATAATTCAATTTTTGATGAAATCAAACAAAGTTTAATTTTGGACCCTTTGGACCTCAATGTGGACCAATTTAAAAACGGGGCCCAAAATCCAAAAACTTAATACACGGTTAGATTCAGCATATTAAAGAACCTCAAGAATTTAAGAATAAAACCCCATTGAAATTGGTCAAGAAATAAGCAAATTATACGAGGTATCTTCTTTTGCACAATACTGTGCAATTGAATATTTCTTGCTATTGCGCAATATTGTACAATTGACAATTTCTTGCTATTGCGCAATATTGTGCTATTGGATATTTCTTGCTATTGCGCAATACTGTGCAATTGAAGATTTCTTGCTATTGTGCAATACTGTGCAATTGAAGATTTCTTGCTATTGTGCAATACTGTGCAATTGAAAATTTCTTGCTATTGCACAATACTTATTATATAATAATTTACACATCCTGTTTGGTGTGTATCTCCTACCATATCATTATTATTTGCTTTTAAATATAAAACAGAAATAACTAACTTAAAATGGAAAATTTTAAAAGAAAAAAAATAGGAAAAAAAGAAAAAAAAGGAAAAAAAAAAAAATCCCCCCCCCAAATTTTTTGAACCCCCTTATGATTCATCACCCCCAAACTCAATCCCAGCCTTCCCTTTGTGGTATAGTACCTTGCAGTACAATTTCAGAGAGATCCATACACTTGAACACAAGTTATTGTCTGGAAACTAGAAAAATGCTTATTTTTGGCCCCTTATTCCTAAACATTTTAGGCAATTACCCCCAAACTCAATTCCAGCTTTCCCTTTGTGATATGGAACCTTGTAGTACAATTTCAGAAAGATCCATACACTTACACAGAAGTTATTGTCATTAAAACTAGAAAAATGCTTGTTTTTTTGCTCCTTTATGGCCCCTAATTCCTAAAATTTTGAGGCAATTACCCCCAAAATCAATCCCAGCCTTCCCTTTGTGGTATGGTACCTTGCAGTACAATTTCAGAGAGATCCATACACTTGATCACAAGTAATTGTCTGGAAACTAGAAAAATGCTTATTTTTGGCCCCTTTTTCGTAAACGTTTTGGGCAATTACCCCCAGACTCAATTCCAGCTTTCCCTTTGTGATATGGAACCTTGTAGTACAATTTCATAAAGATCCATACACTTACACACAAGTTATTGTCATGAAACTAGAAAAATGCTTGTTTTTTGCCCCTTTTTGGCCCCTAATTCTAAAATTTGGAGGCAATTACCCCCAAAATCAATCCCAGCATTCCCTTTGTGATATGGAACCTTGTGGTACAATGTCAGAGATATCCATACACTTACACACAAGTTATTGTCATGAAGCTAGAAAAATGCTTGTTTTTTGCCCCTTTTTTGCCCCTAATTCCTAAAATTTGGAGGCAATTACCCCCAAAACCAATCCCAGCATTCCCTTGGAGATATGGAACCTTGTGGTACAATGTCAGAGAGATCCATACACTTGCACACAAGTTATGTCTGGAAGTTACAATAAAATGCTCCGCTGGGGCGCAGCTTGATACGACCGCAAAGGTCGAACCCTGAACAGTTGGGGCAAGTATGGACACAACATTCAAGTTTGATACAGCACTGAATTTGGATTGTAATTAAATATTTGACACAGCATAGGTTTCTGACACAGAATGAAAGTGGTCTAAGAACTTAAAAATTTTCAATTTACATATTCATACATGTGATAGACTGTGAAACTCAGATCAGGAGATTGGGAAATTTTGGTCAGGAGATTAGGACTCAGATCAGGAGGTTTTTAATCGACATTAATTTTGTTGTAAATGTAACCGTGTGCTGTAAAAATGGTCTTTTAAAGTGTGTTTTCTTCAACTTTCCAACCAATTTATTATGTTTATAGTACCCTTGTACTTATAAAGTTTCTCCATCTTTATATTCTACATGTTCAATCTAACATTGTTTTTTTCCAGTATGTTCTTTAAATTTTTTACTTCATATTCTATAAAACAATCATTGCAACCAGAACATTTGTTTAGCTGTCTGCAAATAGCTTTTATTTTATTTTTTCTCTTGCAAATAGTTTTTATTTGCAAACTCAGAAATTCATTCTACCTGAAAAGTTAGGGTCATAGTTATTATATAAATTTCAATTTAAGCCTTAAAAGGAAGTATAGAATCCTCAAATAATTTTCAAATTATTATTTTTTTATTTGTCCTAAGACATTTAAAATCATTTAATAACCATCCTTTTATGATTATTTGTTCAATTTATATTTTATTTATATTCTTTTAAAAATTTTCATTATTAAAAGGAAAGTAACTTAAAACAGGATAAATCAAGGGAAGTAACCCAATAAATACACAGTTTTTGTTACACAACGGCAGTTAGCCTGAGGTAAAAATCGTTGCTTACCAGTATGTTTGACACCCAAGCTGACAAGTGAAGCCATATAATTATGCATGTTAATTGATTTACAGGTAAAATATAACTTCAGGTAATGTCAGTTACACCAGATGCCTGAGATGTTATGTTGGGCAGAAATTTTTCATTCATGAAAAATTTCATACACAGGATTTTTTCAACAGGAGGTCGGGAGGAGACCCCTGAAAACGGGATTATCGTACTCCCGTCGAGAGGTTCACATGTATGCCTATTCAAACCATATCATTATTATTTGCTTTTATATATAAATCAGAAATAACAAATTTAAAATGGAAAATGTTAAAGAAAAAAAAGGAAAAAAAAAATCCCCCCCCAATTTTTTGAACCCCCTTATGATTCATCGCCCCCAAACTCAATCCCAGCTTTCCCTTTGTGGTATGGTACCTTGCAGTACAATTTCAGAGAGATTCATACACTTGAACACAAGTTATTGTCTGGAAACTAGAAAAATGCTTGTTTTTTGGCCCCTTTTTGGCCCCAAATTCCTAAACGTTTAGGGCAATTACCCCCAAACTCAATTCCAGCTTTCCCTTTGTGATATGGAACCTTGCAGTACAATTTCATAAAGATCCATACACTTACACACAAGTTATTGTCCTGAAACTAGAAAAATGCATGTTTTTTTTGCCCTTTTATGGCCCCTAATTACTAAAATTTTGAGGGAAAACCCCCAAAATCAATCCCAGCATTCCCTTTGTGATATGGAACCTTGTAGTACAATTTCATAAAGATCCATACACTCACAAACAAGTTATTGTCATGAAACTAGAAAAATGCTTGTTTTTTGCCCCTTTTTGGCCCCTAATTCCTAATATTTGGAGGAAATTACCCCAAAAATCAATCCCAGTATTCCCTTTGTGATATGGAACCTTGTAGTACAATTTCATAAAGATCCATACACTTACAAACAAGTTATTGTCATGAAACTAGAAAAATGCTTGTTTTTTGCCCCTTTTTGGCCCCTAATTCCTAAAATTTGGAGACAATTACCCCCAAAATCAATCCCAGCATTCCCTTTGTGATATGGAACCTTGTGGTACAATGTCAGAGAGATCCATACACTTACACACAAGTTATGTCTGGAAGTTACAAAAATGCTTATTTTTGGCCCCTTTTGGCCCCTAATTCCTTAACTGTTAGTACCATAACCCCCAAAATCAATCCCCACCTTCCTTTTGTGGTATTGAACCTTATGGTAAAATTTCAATGAGATCCATTCACTTAAACTAAAGTTAGAGTGCGAAAACTAATGTGTATTCGGACGACGACGCTGGACGACGACGACGACGCCAACGTCATACCAATAAACGACCACAAAAATTTTTTTGCGGTCGTATAAAAATGCTTATTTTTGGCCCCTAATTCCTTAACTGTTGGTACCATAACCCTCAAAATGAATCCCCACCTTCCTTTTGTGGTATTGAACCTTATGGTAAAATTTCATAGAGATCCATTCACTTAAACGACGACGACGCCAACGTCATACCAATAAACGATCGCAAAATTTTTTTGCGGTCGTATAAAAAATTAGGGGAAGTTTGCATAATAAGTTATAGGCATTATAATATATTATATACACAAGTAATTTTTCACATTTCTAACAAATGCAAAAAGAATTGATTTACAGGCTTTTATGCCTGATAAATTTATAAATACTTTGTGTCATATTAATAAAATCGCATTGAAGACAATAATCAGACAATCCGATGACCATGCAAGGTTGGCAAAAAAGCGGTCAATACTAGTATTGACCATGCCGGCGGTAAATACTGGGAAATACTGGCAAATACTGGTCGATTGAAATTTTGAGTAGACATTACTATAAAAACCACTCTCTACCTGGTCAATTACTTTTAGTAATAAAATAATGAAAGTGTTAAAGTCATTTTAAATGTTCTCATGTCTTATTGTATTGTAAAAAGGAAACTCATCAGGTGGCTTTTGCACTGACTATAGCATTGCAATCATTACATTTTGCACTGATTTGTTGTTGTCTTATATTGTATAGAAGTTCCAAATAGGGTCTTCAGGTTTCAGTTTGGTGCTTAAGGTCAAGATGGTTGTACTATGTGTATCTAAAAATTGATTATGTAAAGGTAAAATTTTTACTACATTATATATTTTTTGGTTGAAAACATAAATTACAGTTCAGCCATAAGAGTAAAGGCAGGGAAAAACCTTAACGGTCGCCCAGTCGCCCATGGCCTGGGCGATCTTTTTATTCAGTTGTGGTAGCCCAGGTGGCGAATTGAAAACAAAGTACTCGACAGACGGAAATCCGCTGTTTACCGTGGCTCCAAGTGCCGGCTACTTCACTGACAAAAATATAAATTCAAAAAGAAAAAAAAATCTTTTTAAAATGTATACAGGCAAGTGTCGAGAGTCGTATTGTCGCAAAGTCGCAGTCGCGATAAACAAGGATGTAAAATCAGAGTTTACCTTTGACTAAATATAGTTCACGTTAATTCAGGTCACTGATTGGTCGTCTATTTAAAGTCCAGAAAGTATCGTATGTTTGCAAGGATAACAAGAGAGACGTTCCGATGGTCATTTACAATATGAAGTGATCAAATACCCTGTTCAGTTTTGGCTTCAAGAAAGCGAAGAAATTCAGAGAAGATGACAATAGCATGTTATGAAATAATATCAGTCAAATAAAAGAACGTATAATATATAATAATGTTAAGAATCTGGAAAACAGTACCTTTTGTAGTTCCCTTTTCAAAGCCCACGTGGTGTCCAGAGAATGAAGGTCAAAAACGAAAGTAGAATATTGTCGACCACAAATAAATAACATTAGTTTAAAATGATTTTAGTTTCCTACTTACTGAACAGTTTACAAAAAAGAGAAAATCAGAGGAGATATCAATTTTATGACAATGCTTTTGAAATACGTGTACTGTACAAGTCTTTTGAGAAACTAGGGGGGTCATTTGTTTACAAATGTACGTAGTTACGCAAAATAAATCGATCAAGATATTTAATAAATTAGATTATCAAAGAAATAAAATTAAATATTTCATCGATCATCTACATGTATTTAAGGACAGAGAATTCTTTAGTTGTCCTTAAAAAGATATTAAAAAAAAACTGGTACACAGGGTATGAAGATTCCCATTTTGTAAATGATTTTTTTTTAATTAAATTTGATTGAAGTCAACAACAAAAATAAGACAAAATTTACATTTTCCCAAGCATCTAAATCACCTCCAGGTATGCTCAGAATGCAGGGTTTCGAGTCTAAAATTTCAAAATTTTCTTGGGGGGCATACCCCTAAACCCCCCTAGCACGTTCAGCCCGCTTTGCGGGCTTCACCGGTGATACTCATAGTGAAATAAAGTGGGTTACTAACTTTTTGTCTGGGCTAACTCATTTTCAAGTCTAGTAGCCCAGCTGGCTACTGGCCTTACAAAGTTAAGTTTCACCCCTGAAGGTCCTTGATACCTTCCATTTCCTGCATAAAGATGATTTTCATCTCACATTTAATAGACAGGAAATATTTTATTGTTTAAGTGAGTCTTCAAATATCACTTTTATTACTTTCAACCATGTTTTGTCATCATTTCAGTGTCTTCCCTAGAAAAATTGTCATGCATGGTGGGTCCATGGTAGATTTGCAACGCGGCGCACGATGTTTCTTTTTCAGAATTAGTTACACTACATAATTTATATGTTTATAGCCATACACCAATCTAATTGTTTTATTATAGGTAAGTCATGGAACTTTAAAGTATTTATTACAGATGAGAGGAATTAATGAGAGACCTTATAAACAATACTAAAAATAATCCAGTCTGCACTAGTTATTTACAAATTTATGTCATGTACACATTATTTTGTTGATATCTTCCTCTGTTTCAACTTTCCAAAGGTCCCCACACATTTTTCAAAATCAAAATCTTTTTCCTTTGGTCCTTCAATTGATATATGCATTAAGCAATTCAGCACTTTTTGGCATAGTCTGTTTCTCAAAGGTGTTTTAAGTCTGTTTAAACATGAAAAACACCTTTCACAATCAGCTGTTGAAACTGGCAAAACAAGACCAATTGCTGCATACTTAGACAGACAAGGATGCTGTCACGGAATAGAAGTTCCTTCATAATATAAGTTCCAAATGGAAACAATATTCTGGAATATTATTTCCACTGGAATAAATATTACAGTAAATGTTCCTAACGGAATAAATGGTATAGAATATTTGTTCCAATGCCTAAATGTCATGTCTTTACATTCTTTCACTAACAGTGTCCTCAATTTGCTGATAGAATGGTTTCAGCAGCAACAGCAAGTTGTTAAATAAAACTTTGAATGTCATCATTGCTTCACAAAGATTTTACAGGAAACAATAAAAAAAGTCTATTTGCGTTAATTACAGAAGTCGTCAATGAAGAATACCTGACATACGGATGGCATATTTGAAAATTACCTGTTTGGAAGCTAAGCTGACATTTTATTTCATGACAATTAACTTTTTTTTTTAAATACATTCTTGTCCGATTTATTTATGACGCTTCATAATTGTATCTTGCCGAAGTGAAAGACCACTTGTGTAAAAAACGGCAAATGAATCCGCTATGTGACCCATTGAATTAAAGATAGAACAACACTAGTTTATTAAAAACAATATTTCCGTAAATAACTACGTATGTTTTGAAAGTTTTTCCATCAAATGTTTTAAATATTTCATAAGACACGTCTTTTTCTCGGCCCGGTTGCGGTGATGTGTATTCTTTGATATAATCAATCAACCGCGACTAATCTAAAAATAACTGATTGTTGTGACCAATCAAAAAATAATGCATCGATGTAAATATACATTGATATAGCTGATGGAAAAACTGCGAAACTTTATTTAAAAAAAAAAGTTTTGTCCATTCTCGGTGAAATTACGTTAGTTTTATTTTATAATACCAGAGACTATACCAATTTTTTTTAATTTACTTTTTTAAAGATCACAGTAAAACAACGATGTCAAACACTGGCCCATTTTTTGGTGAAATTTATACTGGAAAAGGTTAAACTTTTTATTTAGCACAGAAGGATATGCATTGGGGATTAATCTTACTATTTATTTATCAGCTAACTGGCAACTTCCATTATGTAACCGAAGTCTCGATTTACAAATGTATAACCAACTAATCAAGAAGGTTGTAAAATCCCCGCACGCGCGACGTGATGCATCCAATTATCAGTCGGATGAGTTTAAAACACCCGTGGAGTGTTGTTACTTGTCACTTCACTTTCAAAATATCGATAATAAATATTTTACAGTTATAATTTTCACACATAGCGGGATGCATTGCGGCAATGATGAAAGCATGACGGTCGAAATTTATGCGTAGCGGTACCGCAATGCTTGAATAGCCTAGGGAAAACACTGCATTTATTGGGGGCTGTTGTTTTTATAGTAATTAAATAATCACACCTAGCAATGCCAGGTGATAGGTAATAAGACACCTGTAACTTCATTTACCTGTAGTTTTATGTACCTGTAAAAAATTATGCATTTTCAATAAAAACAAGAAATGATTGTAACAGGATGCTGTTACGAAGTCTCCCAAATGAAGCTCCCATAATTCGTAATTCCCAGGGTCGCCTGACATTGGGCAACGTCCAGTGAAAATTGGTTTGGTCCAGTAAAGTTATATGCATTAGGGATGCCTGGGAACTAACCTTGTATATCATTCAAATCATCTTGGCATGACAAACCAGAATATATATGGTTTAGGGGTGGGGATCTCGACCATTTACAAGATACTAGAACATTGGGGGTGGAGGGAACCCCTGGGGACTGACCCTATACGTCATTCAAATGTTTTTTACATGACGAACAGGAATATATATGGTTTAGGGGTGGGGATCTCAACCATTTACAAGATATTAGAACATTGGGGGTGGGGGGAACTCCTGGGGACTGACCGTATACGTCATTCAAATGTTCGAGACATGACAAATAGGAATATAGATGGTTTAGGGGTGGGGATCTCAACCATTTACAAGATATTAGAACTTTCTTAAATGGCAGGGGGTGGGGGTAACCCCTGGGGACTAACCCTGTATTTCATTTGATGTGCTTTATCATGACAAACCAGAATATATATGGTTTAGGGGTGGGGATCTCGACCATTTACAAGATATTAGAACTTTCTCAAATGTCAGGGGGTCGGGGTGACCCCTGGGGACTAAACCTGTATATCATTCAAACCATCTTAGCATGACAAACCAGAATATATATGGTTTAGGGGTGGGGATCTTGACCACTTACAAGATATTAGAACTTTCTTAAATGGCAGGGGATGGGGGTGACCCCTGGGGACTAACCCTGTATTTCATTTGATGTGCTTTATCATGACAAACCAGAATATATATGGTTTAGGGATGGGGATCT